TGAACACAAAGTATACAATTTTTTTTGAAACACAATACAAAAGCAAGCACTCACAACACGTACACACACCTTACCTCTATAAATACCTTCGAAAGACTAGGCTTACATATATTGAGATTGATAAAATCACTACGGTGCCTTGCTGTCACGGATACATCGTCTACTACTGAAAAAATAAATAGCCGTAAATACGAGCACACATGTTAAATCTAGAATTTAAACCCAGGTGATCTGATTTCACCCTAAAAAATCTAACCAGTTGAGTTACTTTTACTTCGCACAAAGTATACAATATGACGAGTTGCCAATGCAAATCCTAAGTCTAATTGAGGTAGCCAGCATTTCTACTTTTATTTTCCTGGATTATGCTTTTATTTTCCTGGATGACAGATTCTATGTATGTAGAGATTTTGGACGGGGACGTACGTTTTGCCTTCACCATCCAGTGCCACTGCACCTACTGACCTGTGTACGCAATACTCGATCTCATCCACACTACTTTTCTTAAGGGAAACTGGATATCTTTCTGCCTATATATGGTACTAACTATCTAGAATTTGTAACTAACCGCTGCATTCGGATTGGCCCCGAGGTTGCTTTTGGAGGCCACTGTCACCGGCAGTATAAACTAGGAATCTAGGACTAGGAGTGTGAGATTTGTCTGAAGACTGAAGTAGTTAGTGGAATATAATTATCGCCGTCGAGAGCATACCAAGGGCACAAGCAAGCTAATAATCTCTGCAGGTGATTTGACAGAAGCACGATCGCTTGGTCATCCGCTCGATCACCCAGCCGGTCACCGTCATGCTGTTGCACGACCACGACACATCCGGCCACTTGTACGCCGCACATATCCATATATCTATCCATCTACCGGCGGCGACGTCGATCAGTACGTAGCGAGACTGCGAGAGGAACACTACTGTTAGCGGCGACGTACAATCTGGCCGGTGTACCAACGGCGGCTTCGCCACACTGATCCGGCCGGGCGGTGTGCAGTGGCGCCTGAGAGCCAGCGAATTAAATTTAAAAATATACTGATGATTTGTACTTTTTTCAAAAATATTCGGGATATAAAAGTTTTGACAGAAATATACCATCGGTCTCGCGCAACCGTTGCGCGAGAATGACGTGGGCGTGACGATGCGGACGGTCTCGCACAATGACGACGTGAGACCGCGCGGTATCGCGTGACGAAAGCACGAGACCGCGCGGCCTCGTGCGATGAAAACGCGAGATGGTGCGGTCTCGCGCAAGGAATGAGCGAGAGCGCCAGGAGCTGCCGTGGCTAATTACTTAATTAGAAATTAATTAATAATAATTAGTAATTAATTATATTGATTAGGGATAATTAATTAATCGCTAATCAGGGTTATTAAACATTTTGAATCCGGCCAGCCATCGGTATCGCTCGCTGGTAACGCGAGACCGTTCGGTCTCGCCATTTCGTCCCGCGAGGCTGTACGGCCTCGCGATTTCGTAGGCGGTCTCGCGCTTTCGTTACACGATACCGCGTGTATCGTCATGTCCACATCATTCTCGTACAATGGTTACACGAGTCCGGTGGTATATTTCTGTCAAAACTTTTACATCCCGAATATTTTTGAAAAAAAAACAAATCAAGAATATATTTTCAAATTTAATTCGGGAGCCAACAGCGGCTCTCCGACGTTACGTGGCCGTTACAAGGGTAAAATAGCGAAGAAGTGGGAAAGCACCGACGGTGGGATGATATTGTCATGGACTCAATGGTACCGTGGATGTGTGAATGCAGTGATTTACGAGTGTGTACATTTTTCGTGTAATAAAAAAGATGAGTCATTGTATATGAAAGATTAGAGTACGACTCGTATGGCCAATCCAACGACTAACCGATATGCTCGGCATGTTTTAGGCCTACGCATGTAGTACGATAGCAATGCACTAATCGAACACAAGTTGTACACGTTGATTGTATGTATAGCTATTTTCAAAAAAAAAAGTGTTATTAAAAAATAGTTGAGAGAGGTATTTTACAATATTTTCGAAGGAAAAAAAGCAATGCGACTAGAAAGGCATATCAAGCATATGCATAGAACGACGGCATGGTTATTTGATCAGCCATTGAAAAAAAAATGGTGGAATTGGAATCCCTAACTTGGTGCGGTTATTGACTATTATGGCTAAATGCGCGAATGTATATTCCAATTCCGGAAAAACAAAGGTAAAAAAAGAAGTGTATATACTGGAGTATAAATTAGCCATCAAGTACACCGTACATTAGAGCACCACTTGACTGTGAACAACTTATATATGTGCAATAATAATGTAACAAATTATACATTGTGGTAGTATGTACCCCACCTTGTCATTAATATGAGTTGTATACGCAATGTACGCACGTTCACGCATATCCAGCCGTAACACAGAGCGGTGTTCTTTCTCTCGTCTCTCCCCTCCTCTAACACTAGGAGAAGAATATACTTGAATGCAATTATTGTTGACAAACGTTTCTCTCACACAGTAGTTAACCACTTAACCAGTTAACCTTAACCATCACCATACAATGCCATTAAGGATAAAAGTGCTCGTGACACCGATCGACATATCTGGCCCAGTCCAAGCTAGCTAGAGTGCCTGTTGATATGTCACGGTGAACTTGAAAATGTGTGAGGAAAAAAAACCAAGTATAAATACATATTTTTTTTAAAAAAAATACATTACAAATTCAAACGTCCACAACACGTTTACACTCACGCTCAACATCTTTGAAAAACTAAATCAACATAGCATACGTCGTCTACCACTAGAAGAATAATTAGCCATAAATACGAACATCCATGTTAAGTCTAAAACGGGTCGGTTGCACCATAAAAACTATAGCCAGTTAAGCTGCGCTTACTTCGTAATATAAATACATTTTATCATGAGCATCAATATATGATTGTCGGCCTTAGATATAGTCATATAATAGCATGGTTGCAAACACGGGGTGGAGACCAGGTACAAGCCCGAAAGGCTATCAACAAAAACTTGAAATTTGCACTCCCTCTGTTTCTCCCTTCTTTTATACTCCCTCCGTCTCATAATATAAGAGATTTTGAGTTTTGCTTACAATGTTTGATCACTCGTCTTATTAAAAAAAAATTGTGTAAATATAAAAAACGAAAAGCTGTGTTTAAGGGTTGGTTTAGTTTGTAGCTTAAATAGGCCTTACCAAATTTTGTCAATACCAAATTTTGGTAAGTTTTTACATGACTAATGTTGGTAAAGCAAAGTTGTGTTTAGATTGAAGCCAAAATAGCCTAAGTTCACTATTGAAATTGTTTATTTTCTTAGGCATGCCAAAATTTGGCTTCAAATCAAATAGACACTAAACACTATTAAAATTACCAAATATTGGTAAGTCTAATTTAGACCTCAAACCAAACCAGCCCTATAGTACTTTGGATAATAATTTGGATAATAAAGTAAGTCACAAAGAAAATAAATAATAATTTTAAAACTTTTTGAATAAGACAAATGGTTAAACAGTGTAAGTATATTATAGGATGGAAAGAGTATGCTAGTGTTGGTTAGTTAAATATGAACTCATCAATGTTAAACATTTCATAACAGGGGAATACCGTTTTTCCTGTGCGGTTGCTGGCGGTACCTAGACTCTATCTAAAAAATCTCAAAATAAAAATATTATCCGAAATTTTGCACGGCAATATTCTGTAATCAGCTGATTATAAATTTCAACGAGGGCCAGTAACCATGGGAAAAAATGGGTACTATATAGAACCCTGCCCTTTAATCTTAAAATTTTAGTCGTCCCTAAATTGCAATATTTGCATGGACTCCATATACAACCTTTTCTGCTAGAAATTATCTAAATTCAACAATTTATATCATAATATGGACTCATCTTTTCCAACCTGGAATAAATCACACGGTCAACTATGTAAAATTTTCTTTTTTTCTCCACCCTCGGGAAATTTCTAACCATTTGAAAGCACAAGCGTAGAACAGATGTGATACCCTCCTTTTACACTATTTTATCATCAATCAATAACCTCAATAACACACAATATCCATCGGATAATAAATAAATAGATAAAAGTATTTGAAAAGTTGGGGGAGAGGAAGGAAATCTCTCTCTTAATCTACACGGAAAAGATTATCAAAGCACCCGAGGAAGGATAGATCGGAAGAACAGGGCCATCTTCTCCCGATCGATCCATCCATCGATGGATCAAAACATTACCCAACCCGATTAGACCGTTCCAGAAGCAAGTGGAAAAGGGCCCCCCATTAATTTCCAAGTTGGAACCCAATGGGCGGGAGGCGAGAGGGAAAGGATTGAGAGGAACCAGCCAGGTAATTAAGCCACAACAAGGCCTTGCAAGTTGCACGAGCCACTTGCGCTTTAATCTAATCGCGTAATCATTCACGCTAAATACACACCCCTCCCCCCCTCCCCTCCCCCATCTTTTCTGTGCCAAGTTGCAGATCGATCGACCGCGCAAGTTGCAAGGCAGCGAGAGGAGGTCCAGACCAGAGGAGAGGCGATCGAGTGGGCATCATCAACTGATGATCTTAGCCTCTAATTACCTATCCTAATCGTGATGGTATTAAGAGTCTTGTAGACATGGAGAGGACCAAGTGGGGAAGATTGACAGGGTCAGATTAAGCTGATTTTTTTTTTTTTTGGGCGAGGGGTGATGCAAGTTGGCCTGGCTGGCTGGCACGAGGGAGATGGCGGCTGTGCAACTCCAGGTCGTCGTCGTCGTGACGCTCGCAAGTGGGCGAGAGGCCTTCTTTGTTGCCTTTGCCCATCTCCATCTCCATCTCCTTCTCGCGCTTCGCCCCCTCGGCTTTCTCTCATTCTGACGCCCTCCGCCGAAAAATCTTCACAACAGAGCAGCGATCGGAACCGATCCTGACTTTTTCTTCTCTTGATCAAGTCTGTGTACATTACTCCCTCCCCACAAGTAAAACCCAATTCTAAATTTAAATTTAGATATACACTGTTTAAATTCAAATCTAGAATTGAGTTTTATGGGACGAAAGGAGCAGTACATCTTATGGAGAGTTATGGTATCACTGGTAAGGAGGAGATCACGGTTTGGAATTGGGGGAGAGAGAGTTTTAATGCGGCGAACAGTATCTGTTTCGACCAGGCGTTCAAGTCCGAGTCATTATTTTTGGACGCGTTATTACAAGGTAGGTGTGCAAATTACTCCAACAAACACTATAGTTTGATGGACCGATCTGCCAATGGAAGGGGTGTCGCCCATTGCTTGCCAATTAGTGCACACACACAGAATGGCATTTGCTGTATAGATGTAGCACAACTTTAAATACGAACGTACACTTTAAATTTGTGCCAGAGAACAGATCTAAATATCTAATACTACTATCGTGTTTATGTATATGTATGTATGTACTCAATACACCAACCAACTCGAGCATACAAATGGAATTGCAGGCTGTCAATTATACATGTCATTTCTTGAATCTTTTTGGACAAGGGTGGATGGTGTTTGTGTGTCTCTCGCAACAACGAGGGAAAAAAATAAAGAGGAAAAAAAAGAGGGGGTCAAATGTGAAGAAACCAAAGAGGAAAAAGGGGGAAAAAAAGGAGAAAGCTCTCACGCGCCGAAGAAACACACATCCATCCGCCCGGAAAAAAACGATCGGTGGCCCGGCGGTGGAGAGCGCTCACGAGCCGGCGGCCCTCGCGCCGGCGGCGAGCTTCTCGGCGGTCTTGGCGAGAGACTGGAGGTTGCACTTGACGATGGTGTCGACGAACACGCGGGTGTCCTCGGGCGTGTTGCCCGGGGGCACGTCGACGACGTAGGACTCCACCACGACGGTGGCGGCCGTCGGCGCGGACGGGGACGGGTGGACGGTGGTGACCGAGAGGTAGTTCTTGAGGCGGTGCTCGCCGCCGACGACGCGGAAGCTGAGGACGTGGCTCTCGTCGTCGAGGATCTCGAGGCGCTCGCGGGAGGACGCCGCGGGGAGGCCCGACACGACGCGCACCTCGCGGAGCGTGCCCACGCCGCCGTCCCCGGCGAGCAGCGCGCAGCTGCGGACGAACCGCTTGTACGCCTGGGGCTGGTCGAACCGCCGCACCACCGACCACACCGCCGCCGCCGGCGCCGCTACGTGCTGGACCACCGCGGAGCAGCACCGCCCCGACCCTGGCTCCGCGTGCTCGTGGTGCCGCGCCACCTCCATAGGCACCTCCCCGTCGTGCGCCCCGCACCTCGTCCCCGCGACACCCGCCGCGGCCACGGCCGCCTCCGCCGCGCACCCGACCGCCATGCCGACGCCTGCTAGCGCCCGGTGGTGCTGGTGCTGGTGCTGGTGCGGGATGCCAGGGCTGGACGCCGGGATGCACGGCATGTCGCGCTGTTTCCTTGTCTCCTTCGCTTCTCCTCCTCCTCCTCTTCTTGCTCGCTATGTGTTCGGTGGAATTTCTATGCGGCGATGAGGAGGTTGGAGAAGAGGTTGATGAGGAAGAGGCGTATATATATTCGCCAGTGAGGCAACTTGCTGTGCGAGCTACTAGCCTGTACTGTTGCAAATAAATCTACTACTTGTGTGCTTACTTTAATATATAGCGTGTGATCTTTCGATTTATTTAATTGGCTCTCCTTAAGACGGTTCGATAAAATTTTGAACAAATTGGACAAGTTGCATGGGGGGAGGGTTGTTTGTTTGATTCGCTTCGAAGTGGTACTAGTTTACAATACTCCCTCACTGTGTAAATTAAGGCCCCCTTTGAATCATAAGAATGAAAAAACGGAGGAATAGGAAAAATATAGGATTCTGATAGGAATACAAGTGTAAAACAGAGGATTGCAAAACATAGGAATGACCGTTTGATTGAGCCGCAGGAAAAACACAGGAATTTGAGGAGAGAGAAAGACTCAAAGGATTCTTAACATGAGGTAGAACCTCATGTTAAATTTCCTTCAAAATTTGCATGGGAAGAGACATTCCATAGGAATTTTATAGGATTCCATAGGATTCATTCCTTTGATTCAAAGGGCTATATAGGAAAAATTCATATAGGAATTAAATCCTTTAAAATTCCTATGAATTTCCTTTGAATCAAAGGGGGCCTAATTGTCGGTTTAGCTTTGGTTTATTCAAAGGGTCATTAATAAATTTGGAGCAAATGGCCAACTTGTATGAGCAGGTTGTGTGTTTTTATTTTGTATCGAAGTAATTTACAAGGTAGTGCAGCTAGTGCTGCGACCTTTCCGTATGCTAGTTGTCGGTTTTTTGCCCTCTGGACAGCGCGGAGGGACAACGGTGATTGGGCGCGGAAGGCTCTTCAAATGCAGGGTATATTTTCCTAGTGGAACGACTGAAATATCAATAAGTTTTGTCAAATTAGAAATCAAATGAAGACAATGCTTTATAATACATTTAGACGATATAGAAATTTTAGTTGTTGCTGAAGAATAGTTTGTTATGAAACTATCGAATTTAATGATCACTAAATCAGCCTCAGTTTTTTTCTATCTTAATAACATTGGATGACCTCTTTCAGTTATTCCGGCAAAAAAATCAGCCTCATTTCGATGATAAGAGAGAAGTAAAATAATACTGCCATGTTTAACATTAACTTGTATAGTAATTACTCTCTGCTTACGGTCTTTTAACAATGTGCATTTTGTTTGTGACTTGTTTTTTTTCGAATAAAATTGTTTGTGACTTGTAAGCGAAGATATTATATATGACTATACAACGCAAAATGGTTCAGTGTAATACTTTTAGTGGTACAGAGATCAAGCTCGAGTAACGAAATAAAGAAGAAAACCCCGAAATAATTATAAAATTACTACCTCTGTTTTACAATGCAAGACTTTCTAACATTGTCCACATTTATATAAATATTAATGAAGTAGGCAATATTAGAAAGTACACTGTGAAACGGATGAAATAAGTTTTAGAATTTGAAATTGGTCCTGGCTTTCAATCGAGCATGCATTTTGTATAGTTAATATTGTTTTCTTATTCTCTACGCAGCAATATATCATCCAAATTAAATCTTGACAGTTAGGTTGCATTGCACATATCAGATCAACTTCAACTTACTCATCCTCATTCCTGCATAACCTGTCACGACAAGCATTGGTCGGTCCATCCAACCGAAATTATTAATTCTCTTTTTTCTCATTAAACCGTGCCATTTTAACTACTTTCAGCTGCTACTCCCTCCGTTTCATATTATAAGTCGTTTTATTTTTCTGTTCGTCAAATTTCGTTAAGTTTGACCAAGTTTATTAAAAAAATACTGATATTTTTAATAAATTAAATATATTATCAAAATATATTGAATTTAAATTTAATAAAACTAATTTGGTGTTATAGATGTTGTTTTTCTCTATAAATTTGGTTAAACTAAATAAACTTTGACTAAGAAAAAGTCAAACGATTTATAATATGAAACGGAGGGAGTACTTCAGAAGTACCAGCAGGGGTGTAATGCCCATTTGCAGGGGCGGATGCTAAATAAACTATATCAGCATAAATCGAACCTCTAATCCCCACATCCTATGGATCTATAGAAAAAAAGTTAACAGAAGATTAGGGGGGTCTTTACTATCCCAGAGACGGTAGTGGGTCTCAAAGACCCCCACCCCATTGTGAATCCGTCCCTGCGGCCCTGCCCATTTGAACGTGCATTATTTCAGTGAAAAAGCTAGCTCACAAAGGGCGAGCTTCTTCTGCCAAGCTCACACGCGCGGGGCAGGAATACCTGATGGTTTGCCGACTATTTCCTGGATGCTTGATACTGTATTAAATTAGTGATGGCCTAGCTTCTAGCTACGAACCAAAATCACCTTACACCTCCTGCCCCTCCAGTTCCACATGATACCTTAGCACGTCTTCGCATTATCTCTCGCCCCATACCGACTGACAGTGCGAGAGCATGTCCGTATCATCGGTCACTAGAAAACATTGCGAGAACTCCGTAGGGACCGTAGCTACACGCCTACATATACGACGGACGCACTGTCACACGCAACAACAGTAAAAAAACGGATGGCTCGATATATATATGTTCACGCAATGCAAGTTGGGGAAAGGCAAAAGGGGCAACAGGCCAACATGGTGGAAGTGGAACGCGGCTTGTTGCAATACAAGTGGTCGGATGCCCATCCTTTGTAATACTGCTGATATAGTAGCAGTGGCTATTATGTGAGCCTGGACCCACATATCAGTGTCTGCTACTGCATCAGTATAACTGCAAATAATCTCCATTGCAAGCGGTGCACCGCACGATTAAAAACGGTGCACTACCGGAAGGGAAGTCAATAGGTGAAACAGGCATCGTTAAGGAGGTGGACTAGCCGGTTCGAGTTTAAAGTTTTACCCTTTCTATTTATTCGATAATAGATGCTACCTATCTAACATTCGTCTTTTTTTTTAGTCAGGCATCCTCCGCTCGCAATCGCAAGCAAGCGGGTGAAGCAAGTTGGTCGCGATGAGGTACGTACAGTACAGAGGGAGGTGATCCCCCACCGCCGGCCTACTCGATTTTTTCAGATCTCCCCCCTGCAGTTTGTTGCCGCATGCACGCACCGCGGTCGCGTTGCGCCTATCTCGTCGCTTTCCGTCGCCGTGATCGGGGTGATCAGATACCCCTATCTCTCTCTCCCCGCTTTATTATGACCATCTTTGCTGCTGGCTGTTTGTTGTTTTCACCTACTGATAAGCATCATGGGCAATAAGTGGCGTGGTAGTACTAGTACACGGAGTAGTAGTAGTACTGGCTCTTGTTCAACTTGGCACGGTCGTCAACTTGCGCTACGCCCTTTTCTGGGGGGAGGGACCAGCGGGAGGCCGGGGGCTACTGGGACTAGTTGCGCTTCATTTTCATATGATATGCTGATGCTGCTGGTAACTACAGTGGGCAGTATGGCGGGTTGTGGGATTTGGCTTCCGCGGTGGTTTGTTTGGCTGTGGATTTGTTGTGGGAGGCGGTTTACTGTCCACACCTGAACTGGACAAGGCCCCATTCAGAAGAAGAGTCGATCATAAGGTCCAACCGCATAATGCATAGTCCAATCTGGTGTTTCTTGTCCATTTTCTTTTTCGTTCATATGCATGGGACTATGGGATTGATGCTGATACCTGACCGGCTATATATAAGCTCCTTTCTTCCTCGAGTAATTTTTCACAGAATCTCAACTATTAGACAAGAATGACAAATAGGGAAAAAACATAAGATTTTGGTCTAAATGCATATGCAAAATAAAAGAATTACAAAACAGAGGGGGAAAGAGTAGACATTTTAAAACGTAAAGATAATTGTATTAGAGCGATGAACTCAAAATATTTTTTTTCAAGAGGTTAAATGCCATTCTAACTGTTCAAAAAAAAAGTGCATTGTACCTTTTCAAATTAAGGAATATCATAGTATGATTTTAAAAGTCCAATCCTTTGTCTGACCAAATAGGAACCTATTTTGTAGGATTGGAACCCCTCAATTTACTGAACAAATTCTTTGTTCCAAACAAGGTTTTATAATTCAAGTTATATAAAACCACAACTAATGTATATATAGAATTCTGTGAAATGTACTCTTATCTCTTTATTATTTGCACGGAGAGGTAGACACTTTTCATTACACACGCAGTTGGCAAATGGCAAGGTACAATAAAAATTGATGAGGAACTTGTGACTGGTATTTTGTAAAAAAAAATCATGACTGGTGCTTAATTGTTCTTGAAATGACTAATATTGCAAATTTGCAGGACATGTTTTAAGTGACATTAGAGCACTAGTACTCTGGTAGCACGATAGTATATATAGAAAATCCAAAAAAAATAAATACAAACGCTTAATTTCAAGAAACACCATTGACAAATGTTCAATTCCAAAAAATATCATCAAGTATGAGTTCCATGAAATATCATCATACAAACGACTTTGCCCCAGAAATACCATCTTTGTTAGGATTCCGTTAGCATCCCTCCGTTAAGTGATATAGGATGACCAATGCATTTAACCCTAGCGGTGATGACATTTCTGGATAAAATTGTTTGCACGATGGTAATTTATGGAACACACACTAGTTGATAGCATTTCTTGAATTTAGGTGTTTGCCGATGATATTTATTGGATTTTCTCTAGAATATACAGTGTAGCACTTGGGATTCTCTTATTTGATATTTCACTTTGTTGATATCTAGAATTTGACGACAAAAAAACATTGTCCAAGCAATTTGACGAACACAGTAACAATACTAAAATACCACACGAAATTACTAGCTCCGTCCCAAATTAAGCGTAGCCATGAGTTACCGTGTCCAACTTTGATCGTTCGTTTTATTTGGTTAGTAGATTATAAAACATGAATATAATACTTTATGCGTGACTTATACTTTTCAGTTTTTTTAAAAAAAATATTAAATAAGACGAACGATTAAAGTTGGACACGAAAACTCATGGCTACACTTATTTTAGGACGGAGGGAGTAAGATTTAGAGACTCGTCAACATACAGGGACGTCCATGGCCATGTGCCAACTGATCAACCGCACAGCCCCTCCCCCCCCCCCAACACACACACACAAACCAAATCAAGGGCCCCAAAATTCTCATATTTCAATACAAGGCACTAATTTCCAATATGTTTTCTTCCTATTCATTTTATTTTTTAAAAAAAAAGTTCCCCTCATCTTGATGTACTGATTTGGCTAGAACATGTATTTTCTTTGGTTACCGTAGATGTTCGATAATAATCATGGCAACCTCAAAGAAATATAGTTTATAACGGTGACATGGACGTGCCTTTCTAGGTACTAACATTCCATTTTTCCGCTTGGGTAAAGAAAATCGAATAAGTACATTAAGAAGCGCTTGTTTTTCTTACTTAAGGAGAGCGCTGCCACCATTTACGTAATATTTTTTTCTGAACATTTTAATATCTCTTTTATTGATATTTTCTATAAGGTCTCGTTTTATGTTTTGCACTGGGGCTTAAAATGGCTAGGTACGGCCCTGCCAACGTATGATCAGTTCATGGACAGTACTGACTCAGGGCTAGCTTGGTTGAGTAGATTTATTTTGCTAGAAACAAAATAAATGACATATTTAAACATGCGTGCAATTGAAGACACAGCGGACGTTTAGGGCTGGTTTAGTTTATGCCACATTTTACCTCACTTGAAATATGTTAGTTTGATCAAATGTAGTTAGTGTTTGGTTTGTTACCAAGTCACACTTTCTTCTCTTTTGATCTCACTAGTCTTGACACTTTTCTTAGCTAAAATTTGCCACAAGTATGACCATTAATTTTTGAGCCACATAATTTGTAGCTCGCCACAATTTGGCACAAATTTGTGACAAATTGAGATGGACATCAAAACAGACACTTAGTTTGACTAGTTACATGCTCGTACCTTATAACAGCATCATGAGATATTTTTGAGGTGGTTTTTTTAATTGGATTTTAGAGAGCATTTCTTTTTGAAAGGGAAAGGGTGGGGTTTTAGGGAGGAAAGGAGAAAGAGTGCGTTGGTATTTTGAACAGTTTATAGTTTTTTTTTCTAAAAAGAGAGTGAGTAGTTTTTTAGGAGAATGAGTATGTTTTTAAAGTAATTAAGATAGAAAGATACATTTTGGATCTGTTCGGTGTAACTTGCTGCATCAATGGTGACAACTACACCAACAGTGGCACCATGCAAGTAAATTTGGGAGCATTGCAGCTGTGCAGTCCAATGAAACTGCACCGAACACACCCAAAGGTATACGAAGAGAAAAATGATGGAAATAAAACATCCACATTGTCTGCGGTCTATCTGCATCCACGCTTTGTTTGTCAGTACAACGACGTACACTTTGTTGGCAAGTGGTCAGGTACGTATACGCCACTGTAGCCAAAACGGCAGCACGGGAACACGTCGACGATACAACGCTGTCAACCAACTATTTTCTCCTCTACTCAGTCAAGAGTTTCAGCGAGTTTCGAACAACTTGATTTACCGTGTGAACTGCGAAAAAGAAAAAATAACCAGCTGTTTTCTACTCATAAAAGAACAGTGGAGCATCACACTGAATTTAGACCAGGTTAATCCCCGTATGAACTGCGAGAAAAGAATCACGTAGTTTTCACGTATCACGGGAACTGCTGAAACCGGCGTGATTGTCCATGACGTCGCAGCAACTGTAGGGAGGGAGAATAGCAAAGTTTTCGCGGCAAGTTGGGCTGGTGCCACTTGCGCTGGCTGTGGCTGGCGGCAGCTGCTGCGTCTGCAGGGATGGTGGACAGACAAGATAAGGGGCGTGGTTTTGTGGAGTGGACAACTAGCAGTACTACTACTGGTAAGAGCAATTACAATAACAGAATATATAGGCTAACTATAAATATATTTTAAAGAGATAAAAAAAGAGAGAAAATAACAGCGGTAGCCTATAAATATATTTTAAAGAGATAAAGAAAGAGAGAAAATAACAGCGGACGACAGATCTGTAGTCATCTGTAGCACGGACTTCAAAACGTAATATATGTATGACAAGTAGGAATAAATAGTATAGGTGATTTGAAGTTAGTAGTGGTCTATTGCTCTAAGCCGAGAAATCCCGGGCTCGCGTCTCGCCCCGCCCAGCGGCGGCGACATGATGGCTCACGAGCGCATGAGCCTGTTCCCCGCCGTGTAGCCCTCCGTGCTGCCCGTACCTTTTTCTGAAGCAGGTGAAATTTGCACTGCAAGTTGGGGTTTCATTAAACCACTCTATATAAATGGTTATAATGAATGGAACCTACTGTTTGGCCTGCTAATGATCTGGGGTTAAATGGGCCAAATGGTTTGTTTTTTTTAAATGGAGATAGTCTGGACGGGGGGAAATGAGCTGCCGCCACAGTTGGGATGGCGCGGTATGGTGTCTATAAAATTTGGTTTGGACCAATCTGACTTTGGTTAAGAAATAGGAAAACGTACACCGAAGGTCTCTCAACTTGTCATCGAGTTACAAAATCATCCTTGAGCTGCAAAACCGGATATGACGCACAGTAGCGTAGCCATGAATTTTTCATTGGGTAGTCCTACTTCACAAATCATAAATTTATATTACATACCAAAAATTTTCGAACACCATAAATCCCATATACATGTTGATAAATGTGCACTGGAAACCACACATGCTAATTTTATCACTATGATTTTAGATAGAAACAGAAACAACCTATACCAAAGCCCTAAAAAAATAAAATTCAACATGATTATCATTTTTTTCTCAAAAAGAAACATGATCATCAAAAGGCCGACGCATGGGGCCCACGTGGGTCCCACGCCGAGTCCCCTGCCACATAGGACAAAGCCAGAGTCAAAACCGCTGAGGGACCTAGTTTGCACTGGTTTTGTAAGTTGAGGGATGCGTCATATCCGGTTTTGCGGTTCAAAGACGATTTTGTAACTCGATGGCAAGTTGAGGGACCTTCGGTGTACTTTTTCCTAATAAATATTGTTTCTAAGATGGTTGAGTCCAGTGGTGGCCAATTCAGCCATTCCCGGGTCAGGCACGGGTAGAGCAAAATCATGCCCAACCCGATGCCCACGTCGCCCACTTGGACCCTCCCCACTAGGGTTAGTGGGCAAAACTCCATGCCCATTACCCCGGCCCATGCCTGACGGGCACAGGTATACCCGACGGGTACCCAATGGATCACACATGAATAATAACTCGAAATATAGGTAATTTAACAAAGAGAAATAAAATAAATAATTTACTAAATTATCAGTTATCAACAATAATTTGAATTACATCACAACTTATTATCAGTTAGCATCGCAAATGAACCAAGAGAAAGGGGTATAAGCCTTAAGAGATAAGTCGAAATTAGCTAATACATATGTATTGGGTTAGGCATGGGTTACCCACGGGTAAAAAATAAAACCTACCTGTTGCCCACGACATCTTCGAGTCTCGGATGGGTGTTCCTAAGGGTAAAATATCATACCCACGTCGGTGCCCATTGGGTCACCCACGCGTAATATTGCCATCCCTACATTCCCCAAATCACCGCGTGTTCAGAGAGCGGAGAGTATAGATGGCTATATGGCTCAAGGCCCATGGCCCCGCCCAAGGCACGCCATTTTGCCCTCGTCCAAGCACAGCCCGGCCCGACTGGGGGGTCGTGCCCATGCTTGGGCTGCACCCTTGGCACGGTGGGCCGGCCCGGCATGGCATGATCGAAGAAAAGTAGTATATGGATGCAAAGTAGACTTAAATTACCATATAAGGCAGGGCCCAAAGAAAACAAGAATATAAGATAGACTTATTTTCCAGCCATATGGACACAACCACAAAGTTTAGGGATGAAAAATAGACTTATTATGTACAGAAGCACAATGGGCTATGGTGCCTTCGGTCCAGCACGGCACGGCCCGAGTCATAATGAGCCGTGCATGGGCCGTGTGTACAGCCCGTGGGCTGGCACGGCACGGCCCAGCGTGTAGGTCAGGCCGTGCCGGCCCGACTAACTTCGGCCCAGGCACGGCCGGGCCTGGGCCGTGCCGTGCCGGACGGCCCATTTGGCCCTCTATAGCGGAGAGGGCGAGACGCGACTCGGGAGATTCCAGGTCTCCAGCCGGCGCCGCCACCCTCGCGTCCTCGCCCCGCGCGCGGCGCGCGTCGCCGGCGTCTCCCACCTGCCCGGCTGCCCTGCCCCATCCTCGTCAAGCCCTCCTCCGCTGCGGCCGTCAACGTGGTCGTCGTCTCCGCGGCCGCCGCGGGCGGCGGAGGGGGCGCGGCCGCGCGGGGGGAGGAGGAGGAGGGGTCGGGGTGGTGGTCGGGCCCCGTCGTCCCGCCGGCGGCAAGCGTCCACGAGCTGCTCGAGTGCCCCGTCTGCACGAACTCCATGTACCCGCCCATCCACCAGGTCCGTGATTCTTGGGGTTCTTGTGTTTCTTTGTTGGATCTGCACTCACCGCACGTCGTCGTCGGTGGGGATTATTGGGGTTCCTGCGAGTTGGAGCCGACATCAGAAATATTTTCGGGAATACACCAGAGGTGCATTTTTTTCTTTACTGACATCAGAAACATAGTGAGCTGATTTTGAGTTGGCCTTTCCAGTCCAACTGAAGACAGAAGATAGAATAACATACCATGCCTAACTTAAAGAGAGAAAAGGCACCACGATAAAGAAACTAAAACTATTATTAGGTTATTAGCTGCAGTAGTCTACATGGACTGGATTCCCCAAGTTAGTTTCAGCCTGTCATATTCTGAATATTAAAATGCATGGCGCCATTCAACCATCCATAAATAACCTGTGTTTTTTCAGATCAATTCAGAGCCCTTTTGAGTAGCAAGATTCATAAGGAGAATGTAATATTTTCAGTCGAGATTCGAGAAAGACAAGTGTGTGCAATGCTTGAAATAAACATTCACCAGACTTGCAGTATGACAATGGGAAAGCCCATAAACAAATTGAGCATTTCAGCTTGACCCAAATATAATAGTAGTAGTACTTCGTATGTTTTAGAGTCGAAATACAAAAGAGATTGATGGAGTATTACTGCTACTACTACTACCACTGCTAGTTATTTGCATTCTGATTGCAGGTTTATATATTAATTGCAGGTTTTTCACATTTAAGCTAAGTACTTGGAAATAGGCGAAACAGACGCCATCAAGAAGGTATTGCAGGACCACTCCCTCTGGGTCGATAGCAAGGTTGTGAAGGCCAAAATCTAGGACAAAACTGACTAAAAACGGTACACCTCTCTGTCCCTTCTATCCAATGATGTTTCTCCTGTGTAATTAGCATGTTTCTCCTGTGATATATGGTGAACTGCCGTGCCCTCCTTGTCTGAACATTTTGTTGTGATGTGAGAGTATTTATTTAGCTTGGTAATCATGCCTGACTCAGTATCTAGATCGATCTTGACAGCCGTATATCTGAGTTGGATTAGCTGAGGTATGAGATTGGGCTCACACATGCATAACTAGATCACAATGCATTTTTGTTGCAATACTAGTAGTAGTACTTCGTATGTTTTAGAGTAGAAATACAATTTGAGAATTCACTTGATTAGGATGTCCTTTCTTTTTCATGGCATTCTCATATAGAGACAAACTAGGACAAGTGTAGTTTTCTTAACATCATGATACTAGGACTTGTGTTTCTTTCAAAGTATTTATAGTTTATTTGTACCTTATGTTGTCTTAGGAAGTTTGCAAGTATGTCTGTAAATGTATCTGAGGGTTCTGGGACCGGTGATTCTTTAGAATATTTGTCCTTGAAAGTATCACGTGATAAAAGATCAAAAGTGTGGGAGTTCTGTGAGCAAGATTTAGTAGTAACATATGGTGTCCCAAAGGCGGTGTGTAGGTATTGCTCAGTGGAATTAACTTGTCACAAAAAATCTAGAACTAGTAGCCTTAGAGCACATATTGTTGAGTCGTCAATCAAAATCCCTTATATTTAGGGACGGAGGGAGTAGGTCTTAGGTCTTCCAATCAGTGATTCTGTGGGCTTTAGGCGTTTAGTATTTTCTTAATACCACGACAACCTTAAAAATGTTTACATTTTAGAACGGATAAAGTATTATTTCTCAAGGCTACTAATCAGTACTATCGTTAGAAGAGTTTTTTTTTTAAAAGAGGAAGTATGTTTCACGAGTCCTATTCACGATTATATAAACATGTACAGTACAGTAGCCTCCCGGCCCACTCTGAGATGCTCCGTCGTCTGCTTCCGAGCCGCCACCACTGCGTCCTCCTGCAAACCCTACCGCCGGCGGCCACCGCCGCAAGGGAAATACTGCGACGGCGGCAGTGCTCTTCGGTGGTGTCCTCGAGCCCGAGCCTCTCGATATGGAGGCGGAAGAAGGAGATGGGGAAGGAAGGCCTGATGGTGGTCGGGCAGCTGAAGCGGCTTGCGGCGCTGCCCCCGGCCGGTGGAAGCCCACGGTTGGAGCAGTTCATGCGCTCGCATGTTTCACGGCTCCTCCGCAACGACCTCCTCGCTGTACTCGCCGAGCTGCTCCGCCAGGACCACGTCCTCCTCTCCATGAAGGTACAGCTTCCGTTCCCCTTTCTGTTTCGTTTGTGCTTGCCTTACTATTTGCTTTCCTTTCTGTAATGTGATCTAGTTAAACCTGTAATTTTGATGCTGTCTTTGCAGGGAAATTGTTATTGCCATGTTATTTGTATGTGGAAGTACACAATTAGTTGTTCCGATACGTTATTAACACTGAGAATTGTCTTACTGTACAATTCTGGGGCACTGCTGCACTGCATATGGCTATGATTTAGAACATCTAACTGTTTAATTGCACTAAACGGGACATGCTTTATTTTAATTGTAGAGCGGGGGCATTAAGCAGGCATATGTCATGTCTAGTACAACTGTTTGTGTAGAATTCATCTGCTGTTTAAACTCTATAATTTCCTAGGGACTGTGCTAGGAAGCATATTGATCATTTTGGGGAAAAAGAATCCTACAGACCTGGTTTCTGTTTAGACCCATCTTAAAACATGACCCCTAGACATAAGTGCCATCTAAAAGCGGTTAGTTTCATAGCTGATAATCGTTTTGAGGTGGGTTCAAACAGAGACAAGGTCTTATAGCATTATTTCATCATTTTAGAGGATGCACAGGAGAATCTCTGTGTTAGTGTATTAAGATAGTAGGGAGAAGGTTCATCAGGTACAAGGGCAGAGCCTGGAAGGCTTAAGCCCAGAACAGAAACAATGAAAAAAATGCAGGAAGAACATTCTGAAAAATATGAAAGGGGGTAAGTCAAGTTGCATGTGTTTCACGGCTAGATCAAGAATTTCAAATATCATTGGCTTCACTAGTTGCAAAAATGGCTAATTCATCCTTGATCTTGATTCGCCTCGCCAAATAAAGTAAAGATAAGCCAACTGTGTCAAAGACCCTTGAATTACATTCCTTCCTTCCAAAGAGACCATAAGGATAGCATCAGTGCCATGTCGATCTGCTTGCAAGTTGCAATTCAATTATAAACATCTGTTGCTCTGATGGTCTTGCCTATCTACTATTAGTGGTTTACTTTCTGCAACTGTCAAGGTTGTTTGTGCCTTTTTTTCCCCTTTCTAGCATTTCTTTGGCATATTTACAACTGTTCTCGTTAGATAATCTATTAACCTTTTCTTATGGAGATACATTTCGGTTTCTATCTATTTGTTCCAATTTTTTTCAGCTGTGTGTTTAACTTAATGTTGGTCTGAGTTATGCTGACTTTTGAAAACTAAACCAACAGTATCCATGTTGTGAACCTCCCAATTCATTGGTTTATTTCCATATTATAATAGGCATATGAAGTGATTTTGCCATGTTAAATAGTTTGCTTCACATATATAATTAAATTTGTAAGGTTGGTTTTCTGTCATAAATCTCTGAGGCTGCTGTGCCATCAATCCTGCGATTTATTCACACTTTGGTTGCTCAAGTATAGGTGGTTTATCATGGCAAACCGATAACCTTCTGAAATTTGTATCTCACAATTTTGAATAAACTTTTTGGCGATAAAGTCCAATTTACATTTGTGTTTGGTCTTGCTGGTAGGTGCTGACAAGACACTTTTAAGTTTTTAAGTCCCTGGTGGTATATATTGTACGTTAGCATTCGCATTCTAGTTTATGAGTCATATGGATAAGTAGTTGCTTTTTTTTTTTTGTGGGGGGGGGTGGGGGTAGTCAGCTATTATAGTTGTGCATTGTGCCCTTTTAGATCATATTGTTGTGTTTTTAACTTGTCATAGCCTTGGATATCTGGATGTTTCTCAAACTCCTTTTACCAGGGAAATTGGAAGAGCAGATAATAAATACTCTTATTTAAAGTGGTGCCATAAACCTAAGATAGACATGTACTTGTTGTTACAGATATATAGCGTCGTGCGGAAAGAAATATGGTACCGCCCTGATATGTACTTCTACCGGGACATGCTGTATATGCTAGCTAGGAACAAGAAGATTGAGGAGACAAGGCAGGTCTGGGCAGATCTTAAGTCTGAAGACGTGTTATTTGATCAGCACACCTATGGTGACATCGTTAGAGCCTTCTGTGATGCCGGCTTGATTGATCTGGCAATGGAATTTTACGAAGACATGAGAAGCTCTCCAGATCCACCCCTCTCATTGCCGTTCCGGGTTATACTTAAAGGCCTGGTTCCATATCCTGACCTAAGGGAGAAGATAAAGCAAGATTTTCTAGAACTCTTCCCTGATATGATTGTATATGACCCTCCAGATAGCCTGTCAGATGTGGACGATGAATTCAAATTTTGATCAGTTACACATCCCTACCTTCATTTCTGAGGTCTTTCTGGTAATACCATGAAAAGGTACACACGAAGTTCAATTTCTCAGCTAATGCTTTGCTCTCTGCATTGTGCACTAGCCGAACAACACCATTCTGTCGGTTCTTTTGGTCCACCATGTCCAATGTTTTTCATCATGGGGACACGGATACTGACACGGACCCATGGTGAATCATACTGCTTGGAGCCTTGGAGTATTGGCGTTTGGTGGCAAAGCATCCATGCCCCTAACTACAGAACCAGTCAATCTGTGATGATAAACCAAGGAGAGAATCCATTACATGCCACTGACTTTGTCACGTGTCTACGATTTGCCACTGACTTTGTCATGTTCTATAATATGCCATCGATTTTTGCTTAACTTCTACGATTTACCATCGCCGTCCGGTTAGTCTCTATTAGTACTGTACAAATTTGTTGAAATGACCAAAATACCCTTGGGACATAACCTTTCAAAATTTGGATAAAAATTCGGAAATATCAGATTTTAAGTTTTTGGCCAAATTTTGGATGTTTACAATCTTATGTTTATAATATGTTATTTTGATAATTTTATTCAAATTTTGGAAGTTTTTGTCCTAGGGGTATTTTGGTCATTTAGATAAAATTGTACAATGCTAACAGATGCTAACCGGACGGCGATGGTAAATCGTAGAAGTTAAGCAAAAGTCGATGGCATATTATAGAACGTGACAAAGTTAGTGGCAAATCGTAGACGCGTTAGTGGCATGTAATAGATTCTCTCTAAACCAAAACTACTACTGCTCTGAACTGAATCACTCCAAGATGAAACCGTGCAATGCCAATGATGCCATCCCAAGGAAACAGCAGATCACTTAGGGTGTGTTTAGTTCATGTCAAAATTGGAAGTTTAGTTGAAATTGGAACGATGTGATGGAAAAGTTGGAAGTTTATGTGTGTAGGAAAGTTTTGATGTGATGGAAAAGCTAGAAGTTTGAAGAAAAAATTTGGAACTAAACAAAGCCTCAAATGGCTACTGGAGTCCTAGGTGGTGTTTGGATCCAGGGACTTAACTTTAGTCCCTGTATTTAGACACTAATTTAAAGTATTAAATAAATATAGACTACTTATAAAACTAATTACATAAATATAAGCTAATTCGCGAGACAAATTTTTTAAGCCTAATTAATCCATAATTAGAGAATGTTTACTGTAGCATTACATAGGCTAATCATGGATTGATTAGGCTTAATAGATTCGTCTCGCGAATTAGTCCAAGATTATAGATGGGTTTTATTAATAGTCTGCGTTTAATATTTATAACTAGCATGGTGGCCCGCAGATTGCGCGGCTAGCATCATTATATTTTCTCTCGTATAATAGCATATATATTTTCTCCTTATATTATTCAAATATATTAAAATGACAACATAATTTTAAATTTTGCAATAACTTTACAAAACTACTAATGTGTAATATTCATATTATATTTTATATACGTGTTAGTTATTAATTATTTTTAATATTAAATTTTAGTTATTTGTATATTATACAGACTCTAGACTCATCTTTTAATATATTTTTTTAATTCCGAATTTTCTGTAAATTGTATTTCTGTATAGACTCTATGCTCTTCTTCTAATATTATTTATTTTTATTTCTGAATTTTCATATTATATTTTATATACGTGTTAGTTATATATATATATATATATATATATATATATATATATATATATATATATATATATTCCTATATGGACTCTAGACTCATCTTTTAATATTTCTTTTTTTTAATTCCGAATTTTCTGTAAATTGTATTTCTATATATAGACTCTATGCTCTTCTTTCAATATTATTTATTTTTATTTCTGAATTTTTATTATTTCTAATTGTATTTCTATGTGGACTCTAAACTCATATTTCAATATTCTTTAATTTTAATTTCTAATTTCGAATTTCAGTTACTTCTAAATTGTATTCCTATATTGACCTTAAACTCTTCTTCCCATGTTTTTCTTAATTTTGAATTTTAGTTATTTGTAAATTGTATTTTTATACGGACTCTAAACTCTACTTTTAATTTTATTATGTTTATTCCAAATTTTAGTTAGTTTTAAATTCCTATATAGACTCTATACTCTACTTCTAATATTCCTTATTTTTTAATTCCGAATTTCTATTTTTTTTCTTAATTGTATTTCTATATAGACTCTAGACTCTACTTCTAATATTCCTTTTTTTTAATTTCCAAATTTATATTATTTCCTAATTGTATTTCTATATGGACTCTATACTCTACTTCTAATATTCCTTATTTTTAATTCTGAATTTTAGCTATTTCCTAATTGTATTTCTATAGACTCAATACTCTACTTCTAATATTCCTTATTTTTAATTCCGAATTTCAGTTATTTCCTAATTGTATTTCTATATGGTCTCCAGTCTCCTCTTCTAATATTTCTTATTTTTTAATTCCGAATTTCAGTTATTTTCTAATTGTATTTCTATGGACTCTAGTCTCATCTTCTAATATTCCTTATTTTTTAATTCCGAAATTCAGTTATTTCCTAATTGTATTTCTATATGGACTCCGGTTTCCTCTTCTAATATTCTTTATTTTTTAATTCTGAATTTCAGTTATTTCCTAATTATATTTCTATATGGACTCCAGTCTCCTCTTCTAATATTCCTTATTTTTTAATTTCGAATTTAAGCTATTTCTAAATTGTATTTTTATATGGTCTTTGCCTTTTCTTTTTCTCTGATTAATGTGAGAATTTCTAGACCATGAAAACGAATGTGGAGGCTCTTTTTTCTATTCCTTTAATTATATAATAAATAGATTAGTGTCCAAATATCCGATATGATAGGGACTTAGAAGTTTTAATCCCATCTAAACAGGATCTATAATCCTAACCAGTTCTATCACTCAAACGCAGGGCGTTTTGCATCGGACGATGCGACCCGTGGTTGTCCTATCATTCTGTTTTGCCTTCCGGGCTGCCGCTCTCGATGGCCCCCTTTTGAACCATGGACATTTGGAATCATGGATCCTCTCGTCTGCATTGGCATCACCACCCTAGTACTCCAACCCCGAGCAACTGTCTACTGCCCGTTGCCGAGACAAGAGGGCAGGCAGGTCAATGGGGGCTCTCTCTGGATGGGCACGCGATCCCCTGCTCGTTGGCGACACCAACTGCCCCCCGCTGCGCACATTCCTCCAGTACATCGAGTGTGTGTGGCTGCTGCAGTCAGTGCCAGCAGTTGACAAAAGCCGGATCCCCGCAAAATCTCTCGGCCTTTTTCGCGGGCGGCCGCGGCATCCTCTCTCTCTCTCTCTCTCCCCACCCGCTGCTCTGCCGCCGCCGACGCGCGGGCCCTCGAGCAAGCAGCCACTGCTCTCCTCCTCCTGCCGTTTCCGTTGCGACGCTGCCTGCTCGCCTGTACCAAATCCACTCTTCTTTACTGCGGCTAAATTAATCCGGCTGCTGCTTTCAATGCGACGAGTAGGAATATTTTAACTCCTGTCGCACGTGCTCCCTCTGCTCCGGTGAGCCACTGCCGGGTGGGGCCAGGGATGGGGAGATAGCCGTTGGACTTGGGGGGAGCAGAGGAGCAGCACGGCCAAGGACAGAGTACGGCCTGCGGCGAGAGCACTGAATGAGATGGGGATCTCGGATTCCCTCTGCTCTGAGGCTGTCGCGCCGGGCCCACGCTGTCAGTGGCATATGCCACGTGTTTGAGGAGGAGTAGGGGTGGGGTTGAGCTAAGCTAGCCGTTGGTTAGCGCATCTGGGATTGAATCCCGTTGCGCTTAATTATTCCCTCCTTTTTCTTGGCTTCCTCCTCTGACCTGTGGCGTGGTGCCTCTGCTTATATAGGGTGTGGTACTATTTGCTTCCTCCTTGCAGAAACCAAGAAATCGATTTGCGTTGGTTGTTGCATTCTACTAGATCGCCTAGTAGGCTAGCTAGGTTCGAGTAGTAGCTAGTAGGAGTAGCCGAATAGCTAGCCATGGATGTTTGTAGAAGCAGAAACCAATGCGATGTTGGATCGAGAGGAGGTTTTGTCAAGATGTTGATGGTGATGTTGGTGGCGGCGGCGATGGCGGCGGTGCCGGCGGGCGGGCAGCCGTCGGACGGCGTGGTGATCGCGCAGGCCGACCTGCAGGGTTTGCAGGCGATCCGGCAAGCGCTGGTTGACCCGCGCGGGTTCCTGCGCGGGTGGAACGGCACGGGGCTCGACGCGTGCTCCGGCGGGTGGGCCGGGATCAAGTGCGCGCAGGGGAAGGTGGTCGCCATCCAGCTCCCCTTCAAGGGCCTCGCCGGCGCGCTCTCCGACAAGGTCGGCCAGCTCACGGCGCTCCGCAAGCTCAGCCTCCACGACAACGCGCTCGGCGGGCAGCTCCCGGCCTCCCTCGGCTTCCTCCCCGAGCTCCGGGGCGTCTACCTCTTCAACAACCGCTTCGCCGGCGCCGTGCCGCCGCAGCTCGGCGGGTGCGCGCTCCTGCAGACGCTCGACCTCAGCGGCAACTTCCTCTCCGGCGCCGTCCCGGCCTCGCTCGCCAACGCCACCAGGCTCCTCAGGCTCAACCTCGCCTACAACAACCTCACCGGTGCCGTGCCATCCAGCCTCACCTCCCTCCCTTTCCTCGTGTCCCTTCAGCTCAGCAGCAACAATCTCAGCGGCGAGGTGCCACCCACCATTGGCAACCTCAGGATGCTCCACGAGCTTTCTCTTAGCTACAACCTGATCAGTGGTAGCATCCCTGATGGGATCGGGAGCCTCTCGGGGCTCCACAGCTTGGATCTTTCTAACAATCTGTTGAGTGGTAGCCTCCCTGCCTCACTCTGTAACCTCACCTCGCTCGTGGAGCTCAAGCTCGATGGCAATGACATCGGGGGTCACATACCTGACGCCATTGATGGGCTCAAGAACCTGACCAAGCTGTCCCTGAGGAGGAATGTCCTCGACGGCGAGATTCCGGCGACGGTCGGGAACATCTCGGCGCTGTCATTGCTCGACGTGTCGGAGAACAACCTCACCGGAGGGATACCGGAGTCGCTGAGCGGATTGAACAATCTGACATCCTTCAATGTGTCCTACAATAACCTGTCAGGGCCTGTGCCTGTAGCTCTTTCCAGCAAGTTCAATGCCAGCTCGTTCGCGGGAAACATCCAGCTCTGTGGGTACAATGGCTCCGCCATTTGCACCTCCATTTCCTCTCCAGCGACCATGGCGTCGCCGCCGGTGCCTTTGTCGCAGCGGCCAACACGGAAACTCAACAAGAGGGAGCTCATCTTTGCAGTCGGTGGCATCTGCTTGCTGTTCCTGCTCCTCTTCTGCTGCGTCCTCCTCTTCTGGAGGAAAGACAAGCAGGAGAGCGAGTCGCCCAAGAAGGGCGCCAAGGACGCCACCGCCAAGGCGGCGGCCGGGAAGTCCGGAGGCGGCGGTGGCGGCTCGGGCGGCGCCGGTGGTGACGGCGGCGGCAAGCTTGTCCACTTCGACGGGCCGCTCTCGTTCACGGCGGACGACCTGCTGTGCGCGACGGCGGAGATCCTGGGGAAGAGCACGTACGGGACGGTGTACAAGGCGACCATGGAGAATGGCACCTTCGTCGCGGTGAAGCGGCTCCGGGAGAAGATCGCCAAGAACCAGAAGGAGTTCGAGGCGGAGGTGAACGCGCTCGGCAAGCTCCGCCACCCCAACCTCCTCGCCCTCAGGGCCTACTACCTCGGCCCCAAGGGCGAGAAGCTCCTCGTCTTCGACTTCATGACCAAGGGCAACCTCACCTCCTTCCTCCATGGTAATCAAGCTCGTCTCCTCACCACAACGTTCTTCGGCTTCTTGTTTGTTTGCGTCCTCTGCCATTGCTTCCACGGCTCCGCCATTGACGTCGCTCTTGCGTGCTGCAGCTCGCGCCCCGGACAGCCCGGTGGACTGGCCGACGAGGATGAACATCGCGATGGGCGTGGCCCGTGGGCTGCACCACCTGCACGCGGAGGCGAGCATCGTGCACGGCAACCTGACGAGCAACAACATCCTGCTCGACGAGGGGAACGACGCCAGGATCGCCGACTGCGGCCTGTCGCGCCTCATGAACGCCACGGCCAACTCCAACGTCATCGCCGCGGCGGGCGCGCTGGGCTACCGCGCGCCGGAGCTCTCCAAGCTGAAGAAGGCCAACGCCAAGACGGACATCTACAGCCTCGGCATGATCATGCTCGAGCTCCTCACCGGCAAGTCGCCCGGCGACACGACCAACGGCCTCGACCTGCCGCAGTGGGTGGCCTCTGTCGTGGAGGAGGAGTGGACCAACGAGGTGTTCGACCTTGAGCTCATGAAGGACGCGGCCGCCGCGGGCTCGGAGACCGGCGAGGAGCTCGTGAAGACGCTCAAGCTGGCGCTGCACTGCGTCGATCCTTCACCGGCGGCGAGGCCAGAGGCCCAGCAGGTTCTCAGACAGCTCGAGCAGATCAAGCCCTCGGTGGCAGTATCGGCCTCCTCGTCCTTCACCGGCGAGCCGAGCCAAACCACCGCGACGGCGACGACGATCACCGACGACACAAAATCGACTATTACAGAGTAGTCAGCCTCTTGCAGACTGAAAAGTTTCGGTTCTTAGTTACTTCAGATCATCAATAAGTAGACTCCATAGTCTATTTTTCGGTCTGTATATAAGGCTTTTAGGGGGGTTAGGAGAATTTTGGTGCTCATGCCATTCTTTGATTCCTGAATTCTTTTGTATCTGCCAGAAGCACTCCTTGTTATCAGAAGATGATATGGGAGTGCTGGCTTCTCATTAAGTTTCAGGCAAACTTGTAGTGCTTCAGCACTTAATGCATTGCAAAAATTTGTCATTCCAAAGCAATCGATTCATCTCTATGGATAAACCTTCTTGTCCCAATCTTTTCTTTCATCATGCAGGAAGAACCAATTTGAACATGCATCTTTTGCTTTCTTACTTTAGGATAAAAAAAGTGAGGTTTGATGCAACAAAACTCTCTTGTCATTTATGCAGTGGATTAACTGATACTGCAAATCTTAGCTCACAAAATAGAAATGCAAAAGAGCATGTGTATGAATATCTGACTGAAACACGCATATGAGGACGTTAGAGAGGAAGGCTGATGTGGCGAGATATATTTGGTGACCTGCTAATTTCAAGTTTTTGGCATATGCTAATAATTTTTTTTTGGATTATTGCTGACAGTATTGTTCTGATTTCTTGTTGATCCAGTCAGTGATCTAACCTTGTCGCCAATCAGTTAAACTGTTCACCCATCCAATTCAGAAAGTGGCAGGATGGAGTAAACCCTCCACTAATTACTCGCTATATATCGTGAATTACACGTCCCAGCTATTAGTCAACTTGCATGTTCAAGCTCATGGCCACTTAAAGATACTGTGCTATTTTACAAAGGAGCAGCCAACCTGAAGTTGAAGCGTAAAGTCTGCCATTTGAATCCATCTCAAGCATCCAAACCCGAAAGGGGAAACTATTCTGATCCCTCGATGGGATGTTCCCTCGTTTGCTTAAAAATCATCTAAACGGTTATGAAAAATTCTGGAAAAATTTGACAACATTCATACAACACATATATACAACTCCACAAAATCTTAAGTCTAAACTCAACTCACACATCGAGATATAAAAAAGACAAATTCAACGTATGAATAGTAGCATACTGTTTATATCTAAATTTGTCTTTTTTTTTCTCGATGTGTAGATTGAATATGAACATGAATTTTGGTGGACTAGTAGACATCATTATACTCTACATTGTTAATTTTTTTTTCAGAATTTTTCACAACTATTTGCATCGAATTTAGAAGAAAAAGATATACGAGGGGATATCCCTCCCCTCGAGGGATTAGAATCCACTCCCACCAGAAAGTTATGGGTTCTTCTACTATTCTGCATGACAGGCAGGACCCACTTTTCATCAACCGGAATTCACCCAGTAGGCCAATGGTAGCATACAAGAGTCTGCATACAGCAGTGTAAACCAGAAAGCTCGTTTACACTGCTCGAATCCTTCTTCGTTCTTACTGAAGAAATTATCGGTACGATTGCAAGGGAGATTGGTAAGACTTTCAGATGGACACGCTCAGAATGTTGTTACATGTGTGCCTCGGAAAAAAAATGTTGTCACAGCTCACATGTTGCTTTCTTCGGTGCTGCTACCATGGAACTGGCAGAAGATTAGTTAACTGTTACCTGAGACAAAGCAGTATCGTAAGCTTGTTTCAATGGCCCTAACTAATCATATCGCACCTGCGTCTTCTCCTGGCCACCTAATAAATGAAAAGCTGATGGAATTGTTCAGTTGGAGTGGAAAAAAAGACCAATTGACCTCACTTTGTCAAACAACCTACTAACTCCTACACAGTGTGCGCGCGCGCGCGTAAGTCCTAATGATATTCTGTACCACAAAGTCGCGCGCTTTTCGCAGATTTGCATAATTGAGGCATTTCATAATTGCGTATTCCAAGAGAACGGCTTCAGTCGCTCTCAGAGTTCTTACCACGATCTTGGATGCGTTATACATGTGTTGCTATCTTCTAATCATCTTACCACAAACATATAGTAGTGCCCTCCCATGCTAATGTGAAAAGCAAGATCCATCATCCATCATACTATGTACTACTAGTTGATTGTTCAGGCTAAATTTGCTACTCCGTCCGATTCATATCATAAACTCGTTTAACATTTTTGTTAAACTTCTTTAAGTTTAATCAAATTTATAAAAAATATACTAATATTTTCAAAAAAAACAAATATATTATTAAATTATATTCGATGCTAAATTTAATAAAAACTAGTTTGGTGTGGTAGATGTTTTTTTTTACAAATTCGGGTTAAATTTAAAGAATTTTAATTAAAAAAAGAATCAAATGACTTATAATATGAAATAATTAACTTCCAGTGTATCTTAATATTTCTCGACCAGAACTAACAGAAATATTTGACAGATGGCGAAAGGACCTGTAACCTAATGGTTATAAGAGCCTGCTACTGAGGTCCTGGGTACGACTCTCCATGGGAGCGAATTTTTCAGGATTTAACAACATTGTGATTTCAGTGGTAGGCTACTGTGTAATTTAAAAAAAAAAGAAACGTTTGACAGATGGAGATAAACCTACCTAGCCTTTCACTTCAGAAGAAACCACTTTCTGTTGTGTTCACGGTCTACCTTCTCGATTCACCGCGCTTATGCGGCCACTGCACAAAACAAAGTAACTGCCAGAACAAGAAGTCAAAAAAGATTGGGCACGGTGAACTGATTTCTTCAAGAATCTTATACATACATAGTCTGATAGTCCAGTGGGTGCAACAACTCCCCATCAGCATTGCGAAATGCGAACCAGAGCTGCTAATAGCTAGAACGCGTGCTCGGCGGCGACCACCTTAAAGGAAAGGGGAAAAAAAACAGCCGGAGCCAGCCACCGCAACATCTCCGCGGATCAAATCATCGAAACCTAATCTTCCAAACCTCGAACAACCGCACCACCTTCCCGCCTGAGCCACCCCTACATATACGCTCGTCTCGCCGTCGCAACCTCGTCACCTAGGCAAACTCCAGCCTGCAACCAAAGCATCGGAGAGCAATGGCGACGACGACGAGAGGGCCGGTGACAATGAGGCTCTGCTTCTTCTCTGCCGCTGCTCTTTTCCTTCTCTGCTTCCTCGTCCCGGCCGCCGTCGCCGAGGAGCGCTTCTACGAGTTCGTGGTACGTGATGATCTCGTTCTTGCATTGCGGTGAACAGTTAACATAATCTTGCCTAAGATTTTATCCTGAGCTTGCTGCAACTGCGATGGCGTTCTTTTTTACAACAGGTCCAGGAGACGCTAGTGAAGAGGCTGTGCAATACGCAGAAGATCATCACGGTGAACGGGCAGTTCCCCGGGCCGACGATCGAGGTGTACGACGGCGACACGGTGGCGATCAGGGCCGTGAACATGGCGAGGTACAACGTGACGCTGCACTGGCACGGCCTCCGCCAGCTGCGGAACGGGTGGGCGGACGGCCCGGAGTTCGTGACGCAGTGCCCCATCCGCCCAGGCGGCAGCTACACCTACCGCTTCGCCATCCAGGGGCAGGAGGGCACCCTGTGGTGGCACGCGCACAGCTCGTGGCTCCGCGCCACCGTCCACGGCGCCCTCCTCATCCGCCCTCGCCCCGGCGTCCCCTACCCTTTCCCCAAGCCCCACTCCGAGTTCCCCATCATACTAGGTATAGTACATTTTTTTTTTGTCTTTACGATTACACGGAAGACGCACACGCGCACGAGGGATCGTTTGTACGGTGTTGATGTGGGTTGGTTTTGTTTGTTCGCAGCGGAGTGGTGGAGGAGGGACCCGATCGCGGTGCTGAGGCAGTCCATGATCACCGGCGCGCCGCCGAACGTGTCCGACGCGATCCTCATCAATGGCCAGCCGGGGGATTTCCTTGAGTGCTCCGCCCAAGGTGAGTGGTTACTTGTTGGTTCTTCTCGTTCAGGAGATTGTTTCTGCGGTTGTTACGAAAAAAATTGTGCATGTCTTTTTCTTTTTTCTTAACTTCTTGAGTTACTCTGCCAGAAGTGGAACATCTTCAAATTTGGAGTGTGTTTTAAGAAACTAGTTCGTGGAAGGTGAATTATCTGACACTGCACGTTCTTGTGCCAAGTTCCTGATTTGGTTAAACCGACCAAGGCAACTTTTGGTTTGGAAAAAAGCATTCCTACTGTTGTGTATAGCATAGGTCGTAGAGATGAGCGTTGCATTGTTTTGTTTAGATGCTTGCAACGTGACAAAATGAAGAGACAAAGATTCAGGTAACGAATCAAAAAAATATTAAAAAATGAAGAAAGATAAAAAAAAATATCTTGACCAATCTGTTGTGAGAATAACGTCACTCCCGTTTTGACTTGCAAGTGATTCATGATTTTGCCTGTAAACTATAGTCGTTTGCTTACCATGCATGCGGTCGCCGTGACAGAGACGAGCATCATCCCGGTGGCCGCCGGCGAGACGACCCTGCTGCGCATCATCAACGCGGCCATGAACACCGAGCTCTTCGTCTCCCTCGCCGGCCACAAGATGACCGTGGTCGCCGCCGACGCCATGTACACCAAGCCGTTCGAGACCACCGTCGTCCTCCTCGGCCCCGGCCAGACCACCGACGTCCTCGTCACCGCCCACGCCGCCCCGGGGCGCTACTACCTCGCCGCCCGCGCCTACGCCTCCGCACAGGGCGTCCCCTTCGACAACACCACCGCCACCGCCATCTTCCAGTACAAGGGCGGCGCCGGCTGCCCCACTACAGCCGGCGGCGCAGGTGCCGCCGGCGCCGTTGCTGGCGCTGGCGTAGGCGCAGGAGCTGCCGGTGGCGCCGGCGCCGTCGCTGGCACTGGCGCTGGCGCTGGCACGTTCAACGGGTCGCTCGGCCGGTCGAAGTACTCCGGCGGCAACCCTGGGCGAGCCGGGCCGGCGCCAATGCTGCCGTACCTGCCGGCGTACAACGACACGAACACGGCCACGGCGTTCTCGAACAGCATCCGGAGCCCGGCGCCGGTGAAGGTGCCCGGGCCGGTGACCCAGGAGGTGTTCACCACGGTGGGGTTCGGCCTCTTCAACTGCATGCCCGGCCCGTTCTGCCAGGGACCCAACAACACCCGGTTCGGCGCGAGCATGAACAACGTGTCGTTCCAGCTCCCCAACACCGTCTCCCTCCTGCAGGCGCACTACCACCACATCCCCGGCGTGTTCACCGACGACTTCCCGCCGATGCCACCCGTGTTCTTCGACTTCACCTCCCAGAACGTCCCCCGCGCGCTGTGGCAGCCGGTGAAGGGCACCAAGCTGTACCGCGTCAGGTACGGCGCGGTGGTGCAGATCGTCTTCCAGGACACCGGCATCTTCGCCGCCGAGGAGCATCCCATGCACATCCACGGCTACCACTTCTACGTGCTCGCCACGGGGTTCGGCAACTACGACCCGGTGAGGGACGCCCACAAGTTCAACCTCGTCGACCCGCCCAGCCGGAACACCATCGGCGTGCCCGTCGGCGGGTGGGCCGTCGTGCGGTTCGTGGCGGACAACCCCGGGGTGTGGCTGGTGCACTGCCACATCGACGCGCATCTCACCGGCGGGCTGGGCATGGCGCTGCTGGTGGAGGACGGCGAGGCGGAGCTGGAGGCCACCATGGCGCCGCCGCTGGACCTGCCGTTGTGCGCCCTGTAGAGAAGAACTTTTCGTTTCTTTGGGTTTGTGTAGTTGTGTACGTACGTACGTGGTGGCGATTTGAGGAGGGCTGTGTGCATTGTACGTGTCGATGGTACACCCTGTGTGTTTGCGTTTAGAATTTGGCATATTGTATTTTGGATTTCGATTTGAATTTGCAAAGAGAACGGAGGGTTTCTACTAATTATGGGTCGCTTTTTTTTTTTCTTTTGTAGTACACACTGTGCGCTCTTGGAAGTACTAAATGGGCTTAAACTGGTTTAAACGATGGTGTGTTCTCGGGCCAATCAGGCTGGCCTATATTATAATGGGCCTCCACTATCATTTCAACCTTTTTTCAAGAAGGAAAAAGTCTATTTTAGTCCCTAGCTGTTTATATCCCTCTTGCTATCTAAGCAAGTAAGCATGGAGTTAAAATTAGCCAATTTTGATAGTTAAAGAAGCCATTATATTTGGTTTTACGGTAAAGACATAGTACGAATTAGAATCGGGCAATAGTTGAGGGAATTAGAATAGACTTTTAACCCGCCAATTCAGCTTAGAATGATGTTATTTTATCCCCTAAAATGAAATGGAGAAAATGGTACCGACAAAAGATATGTATATGAAAAACATGGAACTCTCAATGCTGACGAGTGACAACCATGAAACAAAAATATGATAAGAAGTACGGCCGCGAAATATGTAGTGGAGAGGGACATTATTGTTTATACTTGAGACTGCGCTAGTTGAACAGTTTGAATTGGTACCCTTTAATCACACCTAAACCGACAATTCACGGACCTACGCATTCTAAGTACTGGTACCCTCTAATCATTGGACAATCTGATCTGATTTAGTAGTGATGAAGTGAAGCCAACATGTTTTTCCTGCCATTATCAAGACTTTGAACCTTATCAATGGACATCGACGAACTCCAAAAGATATCTTTCTCAACGTGAACTGAATATAACTCAACTAATTAGGTTCCACATTATCCATCTAGATTCAAGTGACACGGGTGCTCGTATTTATGGTTTATTTTTTTAGTGACTAGTCAAGTGCCTATGTGTTGCAACGGGAAAAAATACGAAAAACTTGAGTATGTATATAGAGAGAGGGCATGATCGACAAACTATCAAGTAGGATGACAAGTGGAAGGAGAGATTGAGTGGTTATTCTACGGCAAGGGAAGCGAATATGCTAGAACGAGAGAGGATGAAACTTTGTTAGAGATTAAAAAAAACTGAATTTCTATCATAATTAGCCGATTATGCACATAATAAACAAAACTTTCAATATTTTTATGTTTTTTCATATGGTACATACATCAATTTCTAGTGCACTTGAAGAGTTTTAGCCACTTCAAGAGTTTTTGGTTTCCCCACTGAGGCAAGCTGGTCACGCTGGCTGTTCAGTACGCATATAAAAAGAGAATCAGAGACCGCGTCGATATCTAAAAGTGTGCAACATAAAGAATCGGATACGATTTTAGGCAATCATGGGCAAGGGCGTCGTGGGCCTAATCGCGCGGCCGTGCGGCAAGGAAAATAAATCACATGCGTGAGGGCGCCGCGGGCCCAATCCCAGCGCGTGGCAAGAGGCGAGTGAAAAAGGGACTCAGGCACGCACATCTCTAACAAAAAAAAAGCCGCGCACATGTCGCATGCAATCGCCGCGTGAAAAATGGACCCAACTCAAATACGAATGTTGTAGAAATTAGAAAACCAACTCAAATATGAATGACGTACCGAAATTCTAGTGGAAACATCTTCGATTTTTATAATAGTTAAGATTAAGATTAACTAGGCGACATACTCGTCAACATCGAGACGTTTATGGTAAGCCTATGCCAGCCTATTTGACAATTTCTCGGAGATACTCATATAGCCTCATAGGGGTAATGTATAAATGTATGCGTTCATAGGGGTGAGTGTACACTTGCGTGAATGACTGCATTTATATTGTGTTAAAAAAAAAAGTCTTACACATAATCCTTTCACATAATAATTGTTGTTTTAGGGCTATTTGGAAATTAACATACAAATTGTATTGGAACTCAACAGGAAATAATTCGTTTTGTTTTAAATGAATTTCCATTAAAAATAACATATTAAAATTAAACACTATAAACTTACCTTTTATTATTCGCATCGGTTTTTTACCAATCTAAATGTTGAAAAAGACGATATATTAAAATTCTATAGGTGTGATTGGAAGTTATGGCCTGAGTATGAGCATTGCGTCACTACTTAATACTCTAAGCCCACACACCTTCCACACCGTGATTTAAGTATTGAAATCGCAATTAACTATGGAGCTGGCAATGGCATTGCCCCATACAAGCACTGCAACTTCAATGGGGGAGGAAAGAGAGCCCCAAAGCATGGAGGGCTGTCAATAGCATGTCGCGGGCTTCCGGGCCGCCCGATCAAGATCCGACGGCTGAGGTCGCTCCGTTCCGGGTCCCCGAAAGTGCACCGGCGGTTAGCTGCCTTGAGGTGCTTGTTCTTTTGCAATGCATTCATGCATGGTGGGATCGACATGTACAAGTATTCCCAATTGCATGTGTTCTCTCTTTATGTTCTTAATGATCAGCTAGCTGCTAGCTGCTTGTGGTGTCTCTATGATTATCCTTGATTAGCTTGTGTTAGGCTGTCACTTGGAGCTAGCCGAAGGCCACAATCCTATATATGTAGGAAGTATGATTGTGCTTTCATATGATCATGTCCTAGAAAAGAATTATAATCCGGCCCTATATATCTCAGCTTTAGGGGTTGGTCACACTAGTCACTAGCAAGATAAGCATGAATATATAATTAACATGTACATTTCTACACATGCGAGGGTTAGATTTATCTTGAGCTTCTTTCAAATTATAAATTGTACTTTGGGGCACATCCTTACCAAAGTTTGCTTATATCAAATCTTTTTCACTTTGAATTAGATATTGTTGCCAAATGTTACGCTTTGGACCATGTGGCCCACATGTCACTCAAAGCACTTTGAACCAGATGATTAGCATGTCAATAAGACCGTGCGACCCAGAGGTCAATGAGATTAATCACCTTTATTGTCCATGTGTCACTTGTATGCATGTGGGCAACACAACATTTAACAATAATAACTTGTCCAAAGTGAAAAGAAACTGTTTAAAGATGGTTTGAATTGAAACTTTAATAACAATTAATATCCCAAAGTGCACTTGACTCATTTTTCTAAAAATTTGCAGCTACTACTATATAATTCCTGAGAATTGGTACTATGCACTTAGAACAAGTGGAACATGCCAATCGATTGCTTAAATTTGCTGGCGTGACAAACTAGCTGACCTCCTTAATAGAGAGAAAATAAAAGCTTATATAAGGGAGGAAGTCTATAAAATCTTGCACAAACTCATGTTGAACCCCCAATCTTCGGCCACTTGTGTGTACGACGATCAAGATCAAAATGCAGAATATTTTTTGGGGAGCATCGACATAACAAATTCAAAGAACGCCTTGAGAGAGTAGAGTTCAAGTCAAAGGAAGTTAAAAAAAGAAGCGCCTCAAATCAAAACCCAGAAAAATTCGGACGATAAGGTTGGGTTTGGAAGCTACTTGCTCACCTTTTGATGCGGATTGTGAGATCTCTATGTAGAATGCACACACCCCGAATTATTGGCACAAGAGCTCTCCATGTACGGACAAACGAAACGTAACACACTTATTTTTTGTACTTACATTCAATCAATAAACATGCCAGTTAGGAGTGATATATGGTAACACATTGCCCTTCATTCTACTACTCCTACATAAAACAGAAAACAGAAAATAATTCATGTGTTGCTCATATTAAAGTACCCCCTCTGATGTGATCAAACTTCCAAACTTTATCAAATTGGGTACATGAAAATTATATACATATATATTTTATTTGAAAATTACAACCGCAACATCTTAAGTTTAATGTGGCATATAAATACTTTTTGACTATAAATTAATGGTCACAGTTGCATTTTAATACCACGGCAATGTCCACAACACTACTGTATTAATTTATCCGTGAATGGGAATCAGCTTTAGTGTTCCTCAGAAAAGAAAAAAAAAGTGAGTTGTAGTGTGTGTACTCTTGTACTAGTACGTACACGTTATTATGAAACACAATTTCTACCGTTTTTTTGACAAATTGACCCTTTTCAAAAACTTAATTCGAAACTAACCCCTGCCAAAAACTTCAACCAAAACTAGGCCGTCGGCTCAGCGCCAAGCGCATTGGCGCTGAGGTTGGCCGTGTCAGCGCCAACGGGACTGGCGCTGACATTGTGCCACCGTGGCGGCCGGGCCGATCCCCTAGCTGACGTGGCAGCTACCTCAGCGCCAACCGCTTCGGCGCTGAGGTGCCCAACCTCAGCGCCAAGTAACTTGGCGCTGACCTTGGCTACTTAGAGCCCGGCCGAGGCCGCCCCAGCCAGTTCTTCCTCCGTTTTTTCCCCAGCCGCCCGCCTAGGGTTCGGTCGCCACCGCGTTCTCCTCGCCCAATCTCCCCCAAAAACCTCTCTAATCGAAGGTGATTTGTGCGACATTGAGTTTGGGATCGGAAGAGAAGGTAAACCCCTCTATAAACCCTAAGTTCCCCAAAGTTTTATTGGATATTTTGCATTGTTTTGGTTGTAGACGTGGTTTGATAATAGTTGGCTAAGGATGGATTATTAGATGGATAATATGGGTGGGGATGAAGTGTGGAAGTGGCATATCTTTATCCATTTGGTTGTTATTGATACATTTGACAAAATATATTTGGGATGGATGTTTGGTGATGCACTAGGGTTTGATGGGAGATGGATGTGTGGTGATGGCCTAGGATGTGGGATGGATTTGTGGTGATTGAGAGGGTTTGAAAGGGGTTGATGTGTGGTGAAGGGTAGGTAATTTGTAGGAGTAGAGTTTTTTTTATCAATAATGTGTAGTATTTGAGTAATGTACTTATTTATTGGAAAAATTAGACATGTTGTTAGCTTTTGAAGTATTGGTATTGCAATGGTAATTACATATTATTTTCAAGTAATTAATGTTTATGCATGGGTTTAAAATTGTAGATGGATAGATTGGTCCGGCTTCATTATGGTGGTTGTGTGGTAGATGAAAGTACACATGGAAGCCAATTTGAGGGAATGACAGTTAGACAATTAGTGTTTTTTGCGAAGCCTACCTTTGAGGAGTTAATGTCTCGCATCAAGCATGAATTGGATTGGAATGATGAGTCGGTTGGTATACAAGGGAGATACGATGTGGGCGGCGGTGTCATGTCACATAAATTTATGTTAGACTTGAATGGAGAGATCGAATGGCAAACATATATAGATATAGTATTGGGGTCACATTTCAAATCTCTTGAGGTGTTTGCATGGAAGAAAGATGGTAGGATAGGGAAGAAAGAACTTATAGAATCACCCATTAGCTGTCACGAACTGTCGGAGAGGTGTAGTAGGAAGGAAGAATTGATTGAGGAAGACGTGGAGGGGGGCGAGGGAGTAAATGATATGGCGGATGTGGAGGTCAGGGAAGAGAATGACCCGGTAAGGGAGGAAGTACATGCAGAGGAGAATGTGCCGTTAAGGGAAGAAGTACATGCAGAGGACAACGGGCGTCGTCATAGCATCATGACTAGTAATATGGCCAACAGTCAGCGCCATTATGGCTGGCGCTGAGGTCCCAGCCCGCAAGCCATCCAGCAGGCTTGCTGGTCTGGGCCTTGGGGGTTGCGGCCAAGTCCCACCTCAGCGCCAGGTGGGCTGGCGCTGAGGTCCCAGCCCGCAAGCCATCCAGAAGGCTTGCTGGTCTGGGCCTTGGGGGTTGCGGCCAAGTCCCACCTCAGCGCCAGTCCGGTTGGCGCTGAGGTAGCTGCCACGTCAGTTGGGGATCGGCCCGGCCGCCACGGTGGCACAATGTCAGCGCCAGTCCCGTTGGCGCTGACACGGCCAACGTCAGCGCCAATGTGTTTGGCGCTGAGGCGACGGCCTATTTTTGGTTGAAGTTTTTGGCAGGGGTTAGTTTCGAAATAAGTTTTCCAAAAGGGTCAATTTGTCAAAAAAAAAAACGGCAATTTCTACTCACCGTGCACATCCAAAGAGTTTAGAGATAACCAACATACTCTAATGATGGTGGCATTTAATTTTTTTTATACATGATGGCTGACCCCTCCGAGGCAGTAGACCACCAGTGCTTCTCCTTTCTTAATTAATCTACTCAAAACTCTGTACACTTGCACTCTGGTTTGCTTAGCTTAGCAACAACTCAAGCTGATTAAGCCCCCCCTATATAAATTAGCCAGTGACACTGAGACATGCCAAAGAGTCTACTGATTTCCAGGGCAGCTAGCTAGTGAGTGAGGCAGTGACTGAGCAGCAGTGCAGCACACTCTAGCTAGCTAGCTTAGCTGAAGACGCAAAACATGGGCAACAGCCTGAGATGCTGCCTGGCCTGCGTCCTCCCCTGCGGCTCCTTCGACGTGGTCCGCATCGTCCACCTCAACGGCCACATCGAGGAGTACGCGCGCCCGGTCACCGCCGGCGAGGTCGTCGCCGCGCACCCGAGCCACGTCCTGAGCCGGCCGTGCTCCCAGGGCGGCGCGCGGCGGATCTTGATCGTTTCGCCCGAGTCTGAGCTCAAGCGCGGGTGCTTCTACTTCCTCGTGCCGGCCTCGTCGGTGCCGGAGAAGAAGATCAAGAGGAAGCCGTCGTCGTCGTCGGCCCCGCCGCGCCCGCGGCCGCAGCAGAAGAAGGCGCCACGGCCGCCGCCGACGCCGGAGACGTCCGTGCTGGCCCGTGATGCGACCGTTGCGGCGAAGAACGGCGGCGACAGCTACCTGGCGGAGGTGCTGGCGGAGGGCAAGGCCACCGGCTGCAAGCGCCGCCGGAGCGTCCGCGCGGCGGTGTGGCGGCCGCACCTCCAGATCATCGCGGAAGAAGAAGACGCCGCCCATGAGTGACACCTGCTCGTGCTGCTGCTGCTACTTTTTTTTTTTTAGTTTTCTTTTTTTCTGTACATACACGGATGATTACTGTAGTTTTGTGCACGGTGCACAGACCGTGCACGCACGACGGAAGATCGAACGGCGCTGCATGGCCCTGATCGTTGTGGCGGGCGATTTCGGCCGTTCGATCACCGAGTTTTGGGTGAGAGACGATCGATGATCTCCCTCTTTGCCCCTCTCGTGCTGTTCTTTCTGATTAGTTTTTCACCCTGACCGCTGCAAGATGCAACTGCTCTCAAAGCAGAGGTAATTGGGAGAATTTGGGTGATTTATACTGGTAACCAAGTGTCAGATCAGGAGGAACAACAAAAGTGAGCGGGGGAAATCAATGTCGTGTAATGTAAACTGAACGGAGCCATGTACTCTGGAGTGTCAAGTCTCAGGGCAGGGCAGAATTGGTTCGTCAGATTGAAACAAAACATGCAGAGTTTTCCGCCGCTTCTTTACCTTTCTTTCCCCTCCGTGTTTCACGGGTTTAGTTTGGAGTAGTACTATGTGTTTGTGCTCTGCCGAAGCAAGTGTAGCTTCTGATTAGTGATGAACTGGCACCACCACTAAACAACTCCTCACGGGAAAGTTAAATAGACACATCGATCCATTCTCAAATTGAAAAAAAATATTCTATTTATTAAATACTATAGGTAACATTACAGTACATAGATGTCAATGAATAATGATCGGTACATCATTATCTACCAGAATGATCAATGTTATACATGTTTACAGCGGGAGACAACTACACTTATACAAACAGAAGCGAAAGACTTGAGTTCGCCATGTCGGTCGAGTTGATCGATCCTGCCGCGTGCCCATGCACCGACTTTGGCCATGGCGACGATCTCTGTCTCCACGTTCTTTGCACCAGCGGCCGCACAGCCACTGCTCGGCGTTTGTGCGTGCAGCTGCGGGCCATCTCCAAGAAGCCTTCTTGATTGTCGCTGTAACGCATGCGCGTCGTGCGCGACGCCGCAGCGGTCATTGTTGGCCTTCTCGGCGACGGGGGATGACGGCGTCCAGACTCCGGGATACCGGTACGCCTGGGGCAGAGCACGTCATCGGCGACCTGTGGTTGCTCTCCCGGTAGACATGCTGCACGCCAACCTCGGCGAAGCAGCCGAGCAAGGTGACGATCTCGTCGTGCAGGGCGGCCGGGATCCGCGTCTGTGTCTCCGCGCCAGTCGCCACGCAGCAGCTGGACGGTCGTCGCCCTCAACCACCAGCCTCTCCATGAAACAGGCGAGAGCGAGACGAGACGTAGGCCGCGGATGAGCGCGCCGCGCGGGCCTCCACCACGTACGCCGATGCTCCAGTGGTCGGTCGTCTCGGCGAAGGCGACCGACGCGGGTCCGCGGATGGCGCCGCCGATGCTCGCACTGCCCGATCCGTCGTGGTACACGGAGCCGTCGAAATTGAGCTTGAACCAGCCTGCACGAGGCGGCTCCCAGTCCCACCGCACCAACAAATTCGTGGACCTGAATTGGGTGGCGCGGGCCAGGCCAGCCGCTTGCCCGCAAAACGGCCCACGGAGAAGGTTATTACGCAGGCGGAATAAGTTCACCAGAGGTCCCTCAACTTAAAGAGCGAGATTTTTTTAGTTTCTTAACCATAAAATCAGAAATGTATACCCCTAAACTCACAAAAACCGTGCACTCAATATCCTATGGTAGTATATATGGGTGGTTTCGCTGACGTGGCATCCTACTCAGAAAAAAATAAAACAAGTACATGGGGCCCACATGTCAGCTGCACATTCACGAGCAGCCGGGCAAATGCGGGCGCGGCGGCCAGTGGTGGAGTGGGCTCGGCGGCGCACGGGGAAGAAGCACGAGAGGGGGAGAGATGGGCGTAGGCGCGGCAGGCGAGAATGGCAAGTGGAGCAGCGGTGGGCGGAGGGGCGGCAGGCGAGTGCGGCGGAGCGGGGCAGAAGCAGGCAAGCTCGGACGGGCTTGCTGGCCGCCCCCCCCTCCCTCCCAAACCGCTCCGCTTGGCACCCGTCAACTGCGACGACGACGAGGAAGATGGTGACGAGGCCGCCGCCGTCCTGCTCGGCATCGTCTGCCGCATCCCATAAGCGTTCGACAGCGCCGACCGCCTCCTCTCCCGCCGCTGCCCTCGCGCCAACCGCCTCCTCTTCTTTTCTCCCGCCGCAGCCGTCGCGCCGGCTGGCCCTCTCCCCCTCTCCCGCCGCCCCCACTCCACTGCCGGCCACCTCTCTCCCCGCCGCCATGCCCACTCGAGAGAATCGGGAGAGAAGAGAAGAGAAAATGAAAAAAAAGGAGATATGTGGGGCCCACACCATTTTCTCTCACTTACATGTGGGCCTCACATATTTATTTTAATTTTTTTTGCTGACTAGGATGCCATGTCAGCGAAACCTGGCAGCTATATTGTCTCGGAACCTTTTTTTAGACGGTTTTACATAGTTTAAGGGTACACATTTCTGTTTTTATGGTTAAAGGATCTCAAAAATCTCGGTGTTAAGTTGGGGGATCTCCGGTGAACTTATCCCTTCCGCAGGCTGGCCTTTTTGGGCTAACGGATCCGCTTGGCCCGTGACCGCGTGCGGGCGCCACTAACCCGCAACCGTAGACACGACAGGGCGGAGGACGGCGGATCACGCACGCCGCACGCGAGCGCGAGGGCGATGCGCCGATGCCTCACCAGTCTCCAGTCTCCCCAAGCCGTCCCGGTCGCCGATGGCGAGAGCCATGGGCAGGTTGACATGATAATTTTCTGTTCTTATCTCGCGCAATCACAAATTCACAAACAGTCACCCCTTTGCTTGGTTCTTCTGGCCTGGATCGAAAAGTTTTCTGTCTTGTTTGATTGATCGCTTGCTGCGATGATAGGAAGGGTTGGAATTCATTACAAAACTCCCGTCCGGGTATGTGGAAATACTGATCCAACTCTAGTTTTTTTTTTCCCTTTCTTTTTTTTACCAGCTGACACTACTACTTATGCTTTTCTGGGAATAGTATTTGGACTCGATGTTGGCCGTTAAACCCCCCATCCAACTGTGACGAGACATACTAGGTTTTCGGAAAACAGGATTATGTTGATGAAATTAAGCATGCACTTCGCTCATTCATTGGCATTGAAATGCTTCTTTGATTTTTGTAGTTGTTACTGTTGGATGGGTAGCAGTTGTTAGAATACCTTTTTTGTTTCTTGATTCTTTAACTGCGCTATCCACTAATGAATAGTGTGTGTGTATTAGAAGTAAAAAAAATTAGCTCTAACTTATTAATGATCCATAGTGTCAAGTTTGCATAGGGCCTCCCAAATGTCAGGACCGACTCTAGGGAGGACACCGACGTGGAGGAGGGCATCGACACAGGAAGGGGGAAGGGAGCACGCGGCGGAGGAGCGTGGCTGCTATGGGTGGGGAGGCGAGGCGAGAGGAGGGGAGGAAGATGACGACGTGGCGGCCTTGATAGCGGACGACGACGACGGAGGGGCAACGGTCTCGACAGTGGACGACGACGCGGCGCGGCAGAGGGATGTGGTGGAGGGGCGGTGCCGGTGGAGGGAGGGCGTCGGCACACTGGATCTGGGGATGTGGGGAGAAACGTCGCTCGATTTAGGAGGAGGAGGAAGGCGTGGGGTTCATGCGTGGGGCCCACGATTAGCGAGACGATTTTGGCTGGCCAAAGTTGGCCAGCGTGAGGAGTTTGGCCATTTGTTAAAATGCATTTTTTTATGGGCATTTGTAAATTTGCCATCGGTTTTTTTAATATTGCAAGGATGCTACTCGAATGACAGTTCTAATGGTATTTTTGCAATTTTTCTAGTGGTAGTTTTACAATAATGATTCAAAATAGTGGTAAATTTGCAATTGTCCCTTTTTTTTTTTTATTTAAAGTTGCTAAAATTTAATTTAAAAGTGAGATAAAGAGACTGTTAGAGATGCTCTCGGTCTGCTGTCAGTGTCTTTCGGATAAGTGTAGGACTCCAATCTTACCAAATTTTCTTCCCTGAGGGCAACAACACAGCAGTGGGCCAGCAACGAGGTTGCAACCAGTGTGCAGGCTCCACGTGTCCCGAACTAGGATGGATACAGCTCCCCCGTCCCGTCGCACCGCGCCACGTTACATGCGTCGAGCCGTCAACCTCCCGCTATAATCCCCCCAAGCTTTGCTTTCCGTCTCTGCGTAACAAGTGCCTTTCCGGACTCGCACACAAAGCACCTCGCTTACGGTTTTTAGCACCCACACACACTCCCGGCCAACATCTCACCACCCCCGAGAGAGAAGGCCGCGCGCCGCGCGCTGCTAGTAGTGCTCGATGGCGATGGTCCCCGCCGACGCCGACGCCGCCGCCAAGCCGCCGCCGGACGTGGAGAAGCCGGACTACAGCTCCCAGAACGGCGCCCCCAACTCGGCCGCCGCCGCCGCCGGGGGGGGCGGCGGCGGCGTGGTGGATTCGGTGGTGGCGCGGTGGCGGCGGGAGGACATGCTCGACAAGAGCCCCCTCGCGCTGCACGCGGCCGCCGCGGCGTTCGCCTTCGTCGCGCTCGTGCTCGTCGCCTCCAACCAGCACGGGGACTGGATGGAGTTCGACCGGTACCAGGAGTACAGGTTCGCCACCCTCCCCACCCCCCCCCCCCCCCCCCCCCGCCCTGGCCCTCTTCGATTCAAGTTGATGGGGGGATCTTAGGGTGTGTTGTTGCGGTGTTCGATGCTAGGTATCTGCTCGCGATTGCGGCACTGGCGTTCGCCTACTCGCTCGCGCAGGCGCTGCGGCATGCTCTCCGGATGCGCCGCGGCGTCGACCCCGTCCCGACGGCGTCCGGGCGGCTCCTCGATTTCGCCAGTGATCAGGTGAGCTGCTATTGTGTACTAATTGTTTCACCCAAATACTTCTCATCAATCGATTAGACAAAGGAAAGGGGAGCATAAAGATGCAAAAGAGTGGGGGGAAATTTACCATGCTAAAGCAAGAATACCCATTGGGTAGAGATTCCAATTCCGCGGTACAGATTAAAGAGGGTTCAATCCACTACTATGTTTCGCCCATGTTATTTGAAACCCATCCAATGATCCAAGCGATTAATTTACTAACAGGCATACAGTTCTGGTATTAGCTTTAGTTGAAGCATCTTTGACTGTTGGAGTAGCTAGATTTTGTCCATGTAACACTGTGATGTTCTGCTACCAGACATGTCTACAACTTTACAGCCTATGCCCTTTTCTTGTTTCTTTTTGGAAGGAACTAAAAGTGTTTAGAGTACTAGTAGGCTAGTAGCTCGCTGCCTCGCTCAATAATGGTCCTATAATTTGATCAATCGATATGGCAGCGCAACAACAGCAATGATGGTAATGCAGTGGGTAGTATAGCATTTGTATGGGGTAGACAGAAGTGGTTGGGACCATACATTGGAAGTTGGTGGAAGTTTCGGTGTGTTTTGGATCTTCAATGGGTTGCAGATACTACTATATGTCAAAAATCCGTGGTATCTGATGGATGATGCTAAATGTGCTTAAGCCTGAAAGTTCATGTACTAGAATCGTCAACTTTGAATTGGTAGGGGACCGCATTCACTTAGCCCGCCCTGGAGAATATGACTCTTTTGGACCTGTGCCCTTTAGCTAGGATATTTTTTTGTCAGCTCCTGCAATAATATGACTATTTGGCATGTTTCATGAACTCTGTTCATGAAATTGGATTCATGGCAAAACTTACGAAATTTATCTGTGGACCCTATTATGCTAGTACTCAGAAGTAGATTCGCTCAAGTTGACCCATGATGAATTTGCTAGCCCAATTCATTTATAGATTCAATTAATCAACATAAGTTGGACTGATAAGGTCATTTAAATCCTATTGATCAACACAAGGTCATTTATTTTATGCTTACAGCAGACAAAACAAGTTTGTTTCGATTTCATTTTACATGTTTATCTTTCTCACTAGATTCTTTGATGAGGATTCAGACTTTGTGGTTCTTGTCGTGATACCTACACCATGTAGTACAAGGTACCATGCAGTAGGTTATTTTTTCACCGTTATTCTATCGAGAGCCTATTGGGTTATGCTAGCTTCCAACGCTGAGTTGGCTGCCATTGCATTTTCTTTCTCATAATCAAGTCATTCACAAAACATCACAGCCATATATTATGTATCAGATTTAACAGGGACTAGCGGATGCATTTACAGGTAGTCGCATACTTGCTGATGTCTGCTCTCTCTGCTGCTACACCCATTACAAATCGGATGAGATCTGCAGTAATCAACCGCTTCACCGACACGACTGCTGCTGCAATCAGCATGGCCTTCTTGGCATTTGTATCCCTCGCCTTGTCAGCGATAGTTTCTGGATACAAACTCTCCAAACAAACCTACATGTGAAGCATCGTTCTATAGGAGTAAAGCCCATTTCATGTGATCCATTCATCCTGGAGATGCAAGAACTTATGATGACATGAAGGCGTAGTGGTGATTGCTGTTACCTATTGGTAGCTTACACATGTGTACATAAGCTTAGATGCAACATGCCTGAAGCTCTGAAGACCGCAATATTTGTTTAAAATTTGTGCTACCCTTTGACTACCAGAACAACATTTCTGCGGTGATGAGAAGGTGAGAACTGCTTGTTCTGAAGATACAGATAAGTGTACCTATGTGAGCATTTATTGTAGCATCTTTTGTATGTGAGACTGTTATCATTTTATTGTAGCGTCTAAGTTCAATTTGTGTACTAAATTTTTAGCGTGAGGAATTTATGGGCTAGATTTGTCATTTCTATATTCCTTCTTGGTGGTTGGTTTGTGATCGATTTATGTTAGTACAGTCAGATGTGTGTATTTGTTACCGGTTGTGACTTTGTGAGTACATGATCACTTTGTAATGTTGTCCAACTAGTGGTGACTGCACTTCAATTAGACAGCCGTAATAATATAACAGCCCATGGGCCATCAAGAAGATTCAGCTTCAAAAGAAAAGAAAAAAACAGTTGGTCTTTGAAAAGGAGCAAATTTCATCAAACCAGAGATATTATGATCCAAATTACATAAAACCAAAAAGGTTTGTTTTGGCATGTGACATATAACCCCATGTATCATAGTCCAAAAGTTTCACATAACCCCATGTATCATACTCCAAAAATTTCACAAAACCACATCGTTATCTAGTTTGACATGTTATTGTAGCAAAGTAAACAATGTTTAAATTTAGATGGCTACAACCGGTATGCGATTCGTCAAACGAGTTACAAATTTGACATATAATTTTAGAACAATGTTATATTTTTTTATGTCTTAAAAATATGCAATCGTGAAGTTTATGTGCTTGGAGATACATATGATTATAAATGTAATTAGGATATCGACACAACCTCATATACACCACTACGATTTGTTCATTGCTTTTATAATTACATATTTATAAACTTGTTGTATTCGTAATTTAGGCTGCGTTCGATCACCTAATTTGTAGCAAGAATTTTAGCGCATACAAAACGAGAAAACTCATTAGCATATGATTAATTAAGTATTAATAATTATAAACTTGATAAATGGATTTATTTGAATTTTTAAACAACTTCTATATAGATTTTTTTTAAAGAAAACACATCATTTAACAGTTTGAAAAGCGTGCTAACGGAAAACAAGAAAGTTGAAGTTTGGAGTTGAAGAAAAGAATTGGGCCTTATTATTGAAGTAACATGAGTATTTTTTTCATGGTCATATTGAGATCATATTTACAAATTAAATTTTATTTATTTTGCATATATTGGTGGATTAAAATTTTGAGATGGAGAAAACTTTCAGCTTTGTAAATATTTAGCACAAAATATTTTAGTGATGTGCATCTAAACCGCAATAATTTTCAGTGGCATTTTTCTACATTTTTTTTGACAAAATTTGCTATAGGATTTTAAAACTTTGTGTAATTGGCTGCGGGGATACCGCAAGATCATGTCGTTGTTGAGGGGCAAAAGAAATGGTGTAATTGGTCATAGGACACCGAAGATATTATTTTATAATTTCCACGCAAAAAGTGAAGTAACGAATTTTAAAAAGAGAAGTTTACATCTAACTCCAACAGTGGCAGGACCATCGGCTAGCGGCAGTGGGAGCACAAGGCTGAGTTCTTTCCCCAACTTTCCCAACTCACCTCCCTCGTGTTCCACGTGCATGCTTTTCAAACTGTTAAACGGTGTGTTTTTTTGTAAAAAAAAAGTTTCTATACGAAAGTTGCTTAAAAAATCATATTGATCCATTTTTAAAAAAATATTAGCTAATACTTAATTAATCACGCGCTAATGGGCCGCTCCGTTTTCCATGCACAACAAATAAGTTCCCAACCCGACATACGAACACATCCTAGATATGGTTAGCGGGCAGGGGCAAATTTATCTTTTTTAAATTTCTCTTCAAAAATTATAAAATAAGGTTAGCAGGCAGGGGGTAAACTTGTCTTTTTAAATTTCTCTCTTCATTTTTTGCTCGAAAATTATAAAATAATATCACCAGTGTCTTATAAGCAATTACACCAATTTTATTGGGGGTGTTCCTCAATAGTAACACGATTTTACAATGCCCCTTAATCAATTACATAAAATTTGAATATTCTATAACAAATTTTGCATTTTAGGGTTCCGTAGGTCTTCTAGATACACTAAAGCATCTGCGTAAGATGAGCTCGACGATCATGATGTCATGTCACCGAGGGATGAAAACGGAGCAGATAATTCTCTAATAGTTCAGATACGGATATGATTACGGATATTTGCTCTCGGATACGAATACAAGTATGATGTCATGGTTTCCACTGGATACGGATATCCGATGAACAGTGCTATTCGGATATCCGCTGCGAACATGAGACATACCCCAATTCTTTATAACTCTACAACCTTCAATATACCTTTTAGATTTTATAATGAGTAAATATCAGAAAACTATAACTTTAGTAATAAAACTAATGTTGCAGCTAACTGATAGTTTTGTTACTAAAGTTACAGTTTTCTGAAATTTACTCTTTTATAATAGTAGTCCATCTCTTAACACTAGTCAACACTATTTAATATTATTTAAACTTTAAATATTTTTATAAATTATACTATATTTTATATAAAATGAGCTAATCATATATGATGATATTTGTTTATATTAGAAGTTGAGATGGTTTTTGTGTTAAAAAAATTGTTTCCGTATTTGTGTCCGGTCATATTTGATATTTATTCGTATTCAAGATAATTTGTATTTGTTTTTTTATCCGAGCTATTCGTATTTATTTTTTATCCAGTAAAAATATGAAAATAAATGTGGTATGAGCTCGTTTCATCCTGCTGTCACCACGTAGTAACTCGTTTTCCTTCTTCATTGGCAAGTGTACAGTGGCCCCATCGTTTGGCCTAAACAGCCAAAGAATAAGCCAAAATTTGAATTTTTGAACTTGATTTTGAAGTTGATTTTGAAATACTTTTAACATAATTTTTTTATTAATGTTGGCTTTTAAGTCGCTACGAACAAATCTATAAAAGTTTTACTTATAAATTAATTTTAATTTTCTAATAAGCCAAATAAGCCATTTTAGGCCAAATGTCCAACCGATGGGAGCATAGGAGTATTACTGAGAGAGAATATTTATCAATCTCATCCAGGAAAAAACTTTTATTCCCACTCTCTCCTCTTCCCGATCCCCCCAACACCCAAACCCTAACCCTCGAAGCGACGCAACCCACCGGCGGCGATGGGGCAGGGCACTCCCGGCGGGATGGGGAAGCAGGGCGGCCTCCCCGGCGATCGCAAGCCGGGCGACGGCGGCGCCGGCGACAAGAAGGACCGCAAGTTCGAGCCCCCCGCCGCGCCGTCCCGCGTCGGCCGGAAGCAGCGGAAGCAGAAGGGGCCCGAGGCGGCGGCGCGCCTGCCCGCCGTGGCGCCGCTCTCCAAGTGCCGCCTCCGCTTGCTCAAGCTGGAGCGGGTCAAGGACTACCTCCTCATGGAGGAGGAGTTCGTCGTCAGCCAGGAGCGGCTGCGACCCAGCGAGGACAAGACGGAGGAGGACCGATCCAAGGTCGATGACCTCCGGGGCACCCCCATGAGCGTTGGCTCGCTTGAGGAGATCATCGATGAGAGCCACGCCATCGTCTCGTCGTCCGTCGGGCCGGAATACTATGTTGGCATATTATCATTCGTCGACAAGGACCAGCTCGAGCCAGGGTGTGCCATTCTGATGCATAACAAGGTATTAATGTGTATAATTTCCCCTTTTCCTGATGGATTGGTTCAGTGGGATTGGAAGCACCACACTAACACATCAGTAGTTCATGGTTTGGTGATTGGGTCGAAAAGGTTGGTTAGAACTAGACTTATGGAACAGACTAAGAATATTCAGGTCATGGCGGGATAAGAAAAAAAATGAGGTGAATATGACCGGAGCATTTTCTACTAGTAATTATGAATGTTTTTATTGGTATGGTAGAGTTTCTTCTGAAGAAAAAAAAAAGGTTAACCATATAATGTATGAATGGTTGTCATGGTAGAGTTGCTTGCAGATGGAAAACATTTAAACATATATGTACATCAATCTAGTAGCATTAAGGTATTCTATGCCCACAACCCAGTAGCATTTAGGTAATCTATGCTTGACTTGTGTTGTAGGCAATCAGATCAGATGGTGCACATTCGGTACCTGCAAATGGTAACAGTAAAATTATAAATATTTCGCGGACTTCTTCAGAAGAAACTCAAAGTAACTATGTTTTTTTTTCGTTAAATGCCAGTTTTTTTGTTTGCCTACTGGTTCCTATATGTGATGGAGGCCAGTTTCAGGCTTGTACTAGAATCACCAAATTTTCTTTTGAAGGGCAATAAACACTTTGATGGTTGAGAAAGCAAATAGTATTAATTTAATTTGACTCCATTTGTATGTAAGATTGCCATATTTAAGGGTCGCGGCTACCTTACATTTCAGTGGGCGATGCATATGCAACTCTTACAACCTTAATTTCGAACACTGTGGGAACTCTGCATGACTAAGATTAAGTATTGGTTGAAGATTGAATGTCTTGGAAAAGAGTGATTATTATGAACAGTGTAATCTAATCCTTTGGATGTAATTTAGTAAGTTTATTTTCTCCATGGGAGCATTTCACTTTTAGGAGTGCACTGTTCCTTTTTTGTTCTGTTTTTTGTCTGTCAACACCATAATTTCTTTGTAGCACACCTTTTCTTATATGTGTCTAGTGTCTTCAATTATATCCACTGGAAGCATCTCCCAGTCTTTCTCAGTTTATTGCCACTTTGGAAATCTTTGATATAATTTTTATTCAATGGTGAAATTATTATGGCACTGTTTTGATACAATAGACTTGAAGCTTTAGAGCAAGGATAATATTGGGCTATAAGCCAACTATAAACTTATGTGAGGTGAGAGATAAAGAAAAATATGGAGAGTTGGCTTTCATGCAAGAGCTAGCTCCCTCTACACATGCTTCAAGACAGATGCATTAATTTTATAGGGTAGAAAAAGAGAGGAGAAAAAAAAAAGAGCTAATCTTATAGCTAACCTACTATACATGTTAGCTCTAATATGAGCTTATAACCAATAGTTGGCTCTACTATTAAACTTGCTCTTATGCTCTTTTTTACTTGTGAGAAGTTTTTTATAACCAAACTTGATAAATCATTTCTTCAGGTTCTCTCTGTGGTTGGAATTTTGCAAGATGAGGTTGACCCTATGGTTTCTGTCATGAAAGTTGAAAAGGCACCTTTGGAGTCTTATGCGGACATCGGTGGTCTGGATGCCCAAATTCAAGAGATTAAAGAGGCTGTTGAGCTTCCCTTGACTCATCCTGAGCTATATGAGGACATTGGAATAAGGCCTCCCAAGGGAGTAATATTATATGGGGAACCTGGCACAGGCAAAACTCTACTTGCAAAGGTTTGTCTCTTTTTCTTAGGACATTGAAGTCTTGAATTCCCATGTTTACTCCATTTCAAATTCAATTCATTAATAAACTAGTAACTTAATAAATGCTAGTTATTCATTTCATGTTCATATTTTTGCATATGATTAAAAAGGTGCAAATTTGATATTATATAGCTATATTTTTTCCTTGAAAATTCATGAATATCTTTTTGTAATTATTGCAGGCGGTTGCTAATTCTACATCAGCAACATTTTTGCGTGTTGTTGGGAGTGAGTTGATCCAAAAGTACCTTGGTGATGGCCCCAAGCTTGTAAGAGAATTGTTTAGGGTGGCTGATGATCTTTCTCCGTCAATTGTCTTTATTGACGAGATTGATGCAGTCGGAACAAAGAGGTAGAGTAGTGCATACTTCAAATGGGAAGTCTTCTATATGATGAATGTTGTTTGTGTATAGTAAAAGATTGGTGGAACTTCCCATGAAATAGTTTATATGAGTATTGATGAACTTTTTTTTTTCTCCTTATAGGTATGATGCTCATTCGGGTGGAGAGCGTGAAATTCAGAGAACCATGTTGGAGTTGCTTAATCAGCTGGATGGTTTTGATTCAAGGGGAGATGTTAAAGTTATTTTAGCAACAAATCGCATTGAAAGTCTTGACCCAGCTTTGCTTCGACCTGGTCGGATAGACAGAAAGATTGAATTTCCGTTACCAGATATTAAAACCAGGAGGCGGATCTTCCAGGTGCTTTTCTACAATGTTTCAAGTTCTGTCTTATTGGAAACCTGCTTCGTTCTTATCAATAGTTTTTGGGTGCAGATACACACATCTAAGATGACATTGGCAGATGATGTTAACCTAGAAGAGTTTGTGATGACCAAGGATGAGTTTTCTGGTGCTGACATCAAAGCAATATGTACGGAGGCCGGATTGCTCGCTTTAAGGGAGCGCAGAATGAAGGTAACTCAGCTTTGTTTTCTCAACCAGACTCCTTGCTCTCTAGTACTGTTAATGTTAAAACTTTCGAGCATACTAAGTGCCAATCCTTTCAGATCTGAGTTTGAGCTGCGCTCAGAACATATTTGCATGGAATGCAAGTCTTTGTTGCACTTCTCTTTTTACATTTGCTGTTCTTCTGTTGCTTTAGGTGACACATGCCGATTTCAAGAAGGCCAAAGAGAAGGTCATGTTCAAGAAGAAGGAAGGTGTACCGGAAGGGCTTTATATGTGAGACATCCACCACTCATCAGCACCAGAATTACCTCCAGGACACGGTTAAGTGTAATAGAGAACTGGTAGAGCTGGTGTTTGGTTCAATGTTCGGAGAATGTTTGCTTACACCCTTCTTATTCAGCAATGTCGAACTAAAGAACCCCCTGAACAATGTATGGCTACCAGGAATGCATGCAGTTACGGTTCAATGTTAAATGCTTTTTGATCAAACATGGGATTCCTGATTGTTTGAACAGATGCAGTTCTGATTATGGACCGGTTGTCAAATTGCACTTTTTGATTAAGGCGAATCTGATCAAAACCATCACGTTATCATTCTAATTCAATAGTTGATTGTGATTATCATGTTATTACTCTAAATAGAATCCGGTAAAAATCCATACTACATGGGCATACCATCGAGGGGAAGACAGCAAATTGCGAAACGAAACGTGTACAGGTGACATGTGATATGCTGGGATAAGAAATGATTTGAGGTCGTATTATCAGAGCCAAAAAAAGGCTTGCAAGTTCAAATGGTGAAGAAGCTAAGGGGGGAAACCTGCATTTAGTTCGAGCGAAATAATTCGAAAAATGAAATGATTTAAGGTCGTATTATCAGAGCAAAAAAAAAAAAGGCTTGCAAGTTCAAATGGTGAAGATGCTAAAGGGGGGAAACCTGCATTTAGTTCGAGCGAAATAATTCGGAAAATAAAAAAGAGTTCGAGCGAAATAATTCGAAAAATGAAATGATTTAAGGTCGTATTATCAGAGCAAAAAAAAAAAGGCTTGCAAGTTCAAATGGTGAAGATGCTAAAGGGGGGAAACCTGCATTTAGTTCGAGCGAAATAATTCGGAGGAAACCTGCATTTAGTTCGAGCGAAATAATTCGGAAAATAAAAAAGTGTCAATTTGTTGAGAGTGGGATTTGGGCGTGGAAATGGTGAAGATGCTAAAGGGGGGAAACCTGCATTTAGTTCGAGCGAAATAATTCGGAAAATAAAAACGTATAAATTTGTTGAGAGTGGGATTTGAACCCACGCCCTTTCGGACCAGAACCTTAATCTGGCGCCTTAGACCAACTCGGCCATCTCAACCTGTTTGCATATGAACTGAATTTAAATATACTATTCTTGATGAGAATGAATACACACATAATTTTGTACTAATCCTCTTGGTCCCTTTGGATGGCTATTCATGAATCTTTAAGCTCGTGTACATGCTTGTATTTGTTTTGTTTTTTTTTAATTTGGGGTGGGGATTATTGCGCAGTTTTAGTTTTTGACAGCTTTGCCCATTAGTTAGGCGTGTTTTAATTATTCTTTTACAATTTTGTGTATTTCTTACCTGTGGATATTTCAAAATTCGTACCTATTTCTGACCCATTCACAATTTGAATTTTACAGAATTCGCCATTTAGGACATGCAACAAAGAGATGAGAATGCTCGTGACAAAACAAAAAATCGAATATCCTTACTGATTCCTCGTATGCTCAGTGTTCAGTGAAACCCATCCTGAGAATTTTACATTTTCAATGATAAGTAAATTTGTAAACCACACAAACGAGAACAGAGCACCATACACGCTTAACTAATAGGGCACGCAAATAATCTCCTTGATAGAACCGCGTATTTCATGCATCATGGGGTACATCATGTCATCATGGGGTAGTTTTTCTTGCCTTGCTGGTTTTGTAGTCACTGCAAAGTAAATGACTTTTTAAAACTTGTTTTCAATCAAATGGAAAAAGTAACAGAATGTCTAAAAAGTATACATACTTCGCTCTACATAGTGCACATTTTCTCAAAAAATATACTTAATTTCACATGTATTTTAAGATCAAATTTCATGTATATACAACCCTGCTTTTATGTGCTACAAAACAAGATCAACAGAGTATTCAAGTCTCAAGAGAAAAGGAGGAATAAAAGTGATCTTTTTTTTTGCTGTCCTTGAGGAGGGTACCGGTTCTGAAGAGACTAATTTATTTAGTTGTGTGGATCATAAAAATGGTTTATACTCAATACCAAGCAATCAATCACATGAAATCCTAAATTCTTCATTGTGCAACTAAATGGTCTATACGTGGTGAGCTAACCCAAATGTGCAGGACATCTATGAACCGAAACAAAGATTGTTTCTCAACAATCAACATCTGGAACTATAATGGTTAACTACAAGACGCCAGAAAATGGAGACTGTTGTGGATCACAGTGGCACATGGGACATGAAACTTACCTTTCCAGTAACATGTGATTGTTTGCCTGTTTCCTTGGAATCATCTGAATCTGAGTCACTAGCATTGTATCCTGCAACAAAACAATATGTCAGCCCCAGAAACAGTAGAAATTTTTTTTCTTTTTCTTTCTTTAACCTTCACAAGCCCAAGATACTTGAAAAGAACAGAAAAACAGAAGCAGGAGACAAATGCAAGCCGGAGATACCAGAAAAACAGAATACTGAAGGGTCCTTGAATTCTAGAGGAAAAAAAAAACCGAATGGTCTTAAATATAGGCAGGATGTTACACTGCGGATCGCTAACCTGGGCGTTTGTTGCTAACTTTCCAGACTGTAGATCGATATCGTGATGCTTTCTCCGTCCAAATTTGAGCCTATGTGATAAAGATGTCATTGTCAATCAACTAAAAAATTGTAGCAAAGCAACATAAAGAAGAATAATGCATCGAATAAAAAAGAAACAGAAACCCAAAATCTCAGTAAGAATGCTTGGTGACAGGCCCTATGTTATAAAACCTACTGCTGCCAGGCCCCAGTGCGAAACACAGATTTGGCATGCCTATACTGTTAACCAATCTTATCTGCTTTGAGCTCCAGTTTTCCCCTAGGAATATTACATGCTCCTGGTTGTAATTCCTCGTTCTTTTGTGCTCTGCATTTTCACTTGATGCGCCTTAGAGGGATGAGTAGCCTCCAACCAAGATGGAAAGTGGCAAGCCATCCCCACCCCCTCTGACAACATGCACCTGTCCAATCTAGGTGGATGTACAAGCAACGCCTAAAATTTTGGTTTAAGTTTTAACTCTATGTTAAGAAAACTCTAATGTGAATGTCAAAAAGCTGTAACTGGTATATCCACATTCACCAAAGGACTGGAAAAATGGTACCAGGTAGTTTCTGTTAGAATGTTAACCATGAGAACACAATTAAAAAAGACGATTTATGATTAATTCCATCTGTATTATGATTGCAGATGTAACAGTAAGCATGTTTACGAGCAGATTACAAGTTCAATTGAACCGATTTCCTCCATTGACGATGGTTAGCATTTAGCAAGGAAGCACACAAGCTAAATTAGCTAGTGGTTGATGAAGTTTATCGGTCACATACAGTTATGAGGGAAAATCTATGAAATTACTACAATAGTAACAGAAGCATATATAAATTCTACCCAGCAGATGTAAATACACTGATCCATATCGAAGATTTTATCAATTGCCATATTCAGAAGCAAGATATAAGAAAGGCTCATTACTTCATTTTACTCGAGAGCCCACCAAGAAGCGAAAAGGAAGGGGGCTCACCTTGTGCTCGTTCTTGTTGACGCCGTAGCCGCTGCGGTACATCTGGCCGACGAGCACCTGCATGGCGGCGTCGCCGGCGCGGGCCTCCTTGAGCGTGTCCTGGAACCACCGCCTCGTGCAGTCCAGCACCACCTCGGAGAGCGGCACCCGGTCGTCCTCCTGCAGTCCGCACGCCGCCGCCAAATCCCGCACCTCCGCGCGCCCGGCGCTGGCGCCGGCGCCGGCGGCGTTCCTGGGCGTATCCAGCGGAGCGGCGGACGGCTTCCCCGCCTTGCCGCCTTGGGAGGGGCGGGATCGGAGGCCGCGGGCGGAGGGGCGGAGCGCGGCGCGGATGGCGGCGAGGCCGTCGGCCGGGAGGCGCTTGGCCATGCAAGGTGGGGGTTTCCTCGGGAAGGGAGGGGGAGTGGAGGCGGATTCGCGAGGAAGGCGAGGGCTTTTCTGCGAAAAGGGAGGCGTCCTCGTTTGTGAAGGGTGGAAAAGTTGGTGGCGTGGAAGGGAATATTGTGATTTATTTATCTTTTTTTTTCCTTTTACTTTGGTGCTTTAGATTTGTTGTTTGTCATATTGGACTTTGGTGCTTTAAATTTGTTGGATGTCATATTGTCATATTGGATCGTGGATGGAAGAAAACAGTGAGATTTGACAAGTGAAAATTGTAGGGCTTCGCCGGAAAAGAAGATGGTGGATGGAAGAAAACAGTGAGATCTTGACAAGTGGAAATTCTAGGGCTTCATGGGAAAAGAAGATTCCTACTGATTTTATATTAGTTTCTTTTAACGTGTTGTTTAAAAAGACGCAGGTCGAGATAAAACCCTAACCACAATACACTTCTACTGAAAGCATAAATATGTGTGGTATTTGTGGATATCAGGATTTAAATTCTGATGAATAGTCATGCACCATGACTCTACTAACCTATTATGTTAGTTAAGGGGTGTATGAAAATGGTTTTATTTGATTAAACACCTACATGTGTGATTATGTCCCTTTTCTAAAAAAAAGTCCGTGTTATCATGTAAACAGTCTTATCTTGATCCAGTCCCAGCACCATCTGGAACCCACTCACCTGTGATGGCGACTGCCCAAGTAGTATTTGCATCTATAATTCTGTTTCAGTTTTGTCCAGAATGTTTTGTTTTGTCATACTATATAATAATATTATAGAAAAAGGTCCTTTACAAGCTCCATAAGTCAGAAGACCAGGAAATCTTGGCATATATGCATTATGTATTATTATATACCCTCAAGATTCATTTTTTCATCAAAAAGAAAACACACTAACTAGTCCTATCAGGCATATACAATCCTCACCGTGCATCAAGTTACAGGAGGCCCATCGACAAAGACAACAAAGGCCATGTTTGGAAGGAGGGAATTTCTCTGGATTTCAACGGAATTTGAATTGTTCGACGTGAAATCCCTATGAAATTCCTGTTCCAAACGGGGCGTAAACACATCACGTGCCGGAAAAGCGGGAAAAAATTGATATACCGTTTACATGTTGCATCTTCATGGCATGAACTTCATATGAGACATTAAGCTTCTTTATCAGATGATACCCTGTAGTTCATTTCACAGTTTGCTAGCTCTACTTATGCAAGAACAGGAAACGCAAGTCCATGATGGCATGATCACCACAGACCTTGTGAAATGTGAATGTGAAGAAACATCAGGCGCCAAATTGCATGCTCTGAGGAATCAGCTAGTCACTCCAGCTATCCTCATCATCGTCATCAGCAACAGCCTGTTTGATTTACAGGAGAGAAAATAATCATATGACCATAGATGACAAAGCTATGATCAGCTGAAACTGTAAGGGAGATTAATAATGTTGCAAGAGATGGTTTATAAACCTGGCGAATAGCATTAGCCCTCTCCAGGATGGCCACCACTTGCAAGTTCGTTCTTGGAGCACCCATCATGTTCGGTCTCTTTGCAAGAACTGGCTTCAAGTTGAAAGACTGTGAAGTAAACAAGAAAAAATTACATTAGCAAAACTAAACTCAATGCCAATGTTTTTAGGTCCAACAGTGAGTACTTTACCTTATTCTTTATCTGTTCCAGTATTGTGTTGTTCTCGTCTGAAAGCTTGATAGAAGGCTGAACCAAAGTTGGAGCCCTTTTTAGCTAATAAAGCATGAGAAAGATAGACATTTGGTCAGGTGAAATCTTAGTCATAAAGTGGTGAAACGAATAATGCAAAAATAACCATACCATGCTTCTATCATGAGCAGTAACTTGGAATAGAGGATATTTAGGTGGTGTTGGCACTCTCGGTGGTGAAAACTTTGCTACTTCCTCTTCAAATGAAGAAGACGATTCCCTTGCCGTGCCAGCAGAACTATCATGTTGTCCATCTTCCTGTTGCACCAACAAGTCAGAATTCTTCGTATCATCCTGACAAGTAACTCCATTTGGTTCCTTTTCTTCTGAATCTGCTATTGCATTTCCCTTTCCAGCTAATAAATTCTTTTCATTTTGATCATATATTTTGTAGTCATCCCTCTTTTCTGCTGACAGACCAGTAGTATGCATGCCATTGCAATTGAAAACTCCAGTGCTAAGCTGGCGTTTTCCTCCTTTCTCCTGTCCAGATATTGATTTTATATCTACAAGCTCAGACCATGCCTCCTCTGGAATTACTATAAGCTCAGATAACTGTGAAGTTTCAAGATTGTCGCCTTCTACTGAAGCAACACCTCCCACGCTCTTGAATTCTGATGTGGAGAATGAATCAGAAGCTTGCACATCATACTCATTGAGTCCTTTGAGGTGGCTTTCTTGAGAATCCCTACCAAACATTATATTTGTCTGGATCTCATTAGAAACTTTTGCCACTACCATTTCCTTCTCTGGAGTGACCGAAGTCGAGCCATTCTGCAGACTTGCTTCCTGAAGAATTTCAGGCTCTCTATTTCTTTCATCCTGTGAGGAGTAACTCTCATTTTCCTGGTACTTAACTGGAGGTTTTGGTCTTGGTGGTCTCCCAAATTTTGCAGATAAAACTGCAGGCCCTGGCTGAAGTTTTGTTGTTCTCCATTGCATTGGCGGGAGAGGTGGTAGTGGCGGTGGTGCATCTTCAGTATCTTTGGAAGAATTATTTTCCTGTAAAATTCCATTAGGTGGTTTAGCAGGAAGTACATTCAACGACTTCTGCATTGCACCATTAAGCATCCAATCAAAACTTGAGATGTTTGGTAATGGCACATCTCTAGAGTCTGGAGCTAGTGCATCTCTGAACAAATCAGAACTGCTGTCAATGCACAAAATGGGGTTTTCATGTATTTCTTCAGTGTCTACAGACAGATCTGGAGTTGTACCCACCATGGATGAGCTGCACAGTGGTAATGGCTCATTTTGTCCTTCAACTTCACAGCTGCTGACATGAGTTAAATCTTGTGCAAAACTGGTTTCTGGATGTAAACAGCATTGTTCATTATATTGGACGGCCACATCATTGGTTGTTGCTGATTCAACAACCACTGTAGATACATTGGATTCTGTTATTGTTCCTGACAATGTGATATGCATTTCAGAGATGTCATTGTCTACATTTTTACCTGCCAAGGCATCATCTGCATCTGTAAGAGTGAGTGGTGCCATCTGACAAGGATCATCAGATTGCTTGGATGAGATCGGTGAGGAGATCAAATCATCTGAAACCACTTGCTCTTCTATGTACTCGGTGTTTTCATCCAATGTGTATGCATCGGACTCATTGCTTTCCTCGACATCTTCCTCGTTCACCTTCTCTTCAGTAATACTGCCTTCTTCTAATTCTTCGCCTATATCAGGGCCATTTTCAGGGACAACTTCAGTATGAATATCTTCAGTCACTTCCCTATAAAAATGTTCCCCAATCTGATCTTGAGTATTTTCGGGTGCATGATCCAACAAATTGTCAACAGTTACAGGACCTGCACATTGTTGTTCCTCTTGAGAACGTAACAATGCAATGTCCCGAAATACATTTCCATCAACTGAATCTTGGGGACTATCACTTGGTGGAACATCATGGTCATACTCTTGGTTCACTTCTTCTGGTCGACATGCTCTTGAATCAACGTTGTCTTGAGGTGAATCAGGAGGAACGCTTTGCGTGGCACTCCCCATAATTTCAATAGGAGGGTGAGACATTTCCAGACACTTCATATCACATCCCTCACCATTTGCTTCAAATTCATATAACTCAGTGTCTTTGGTGCCATCAATCTTCAGCTCAAGCAACTGCTTGGCCATGTTTCTGAGGGAATCAGAGAACGGATCATGCTTTTTGGAGAGTTTTCTCGGCAAAATGCCCACTTTTGAAACAATAAGCTCCATGCTGCCCACATACTTTGATTTCTTGCTCGCTGTCTTCTTGAAGGAAATGCCTGCAATGATGGGGTTATCCTTTTCTTTCTTTGTAGTGCCAACTGTACCATTTGATTCAACAGTACTGACAACACCATTTGTATTTGATTCAGTAGCTGATGATCTCATGTTATGCCCAGAAGGATGGACATCTCCAAGGAGCAATTCCTCCAAAGAACTGGTCCTCTCATGCTCGCATGACACCGGTTTTTCTTGTGCAAACAATTCCTCCAACGAGCTGCTCCTCTCATGTTCACCAGCAACAGGTTTGGCCTGTGGTGAAGGGACACAGACATACCCTTGATGGTGATCATTATTTTCTTCCTCTGCTGGGACAACATCTGAAGAGTTAGGCACCATTGAGCCATTGTTCCTGAAGCTAATAGACCCTGAAACCGCGGCACCGTGAACATCAGAGCACGGTTTGCTGGACTCCACCGGTACCAAGGCACGGTGTCCATGATCTCTGTGCTCTGTGTCTGTCTCAACCTCAGAATCCATTGTGGTGAGAGCGTCCACGTAGATGTCAACTTCAGAGTTGTATCCCTTGCTGCTTCCTGCAGACCGAGCATCCGAAGAACGCGATAGTGCTTCTTCTGATAACAATCTGTTCTTGCCAGCCATCACGTAGTTGTTTTCCTTGCCTTTGTCCATGCTGCTGAATGTGTCTACCATGATGTCCCTCTCTTCAGTGTTTGTGTCAGGTGAGTCAGTGAAAGATATCTGCACTTCTGAATGGTTCATGGAGCAGGGCTTCTCATCTGGTGAAGTTTCTCCGTAAAGATTCTGCATCTGTGGCCTGAAGCTTCGGAACACAGATCCATTTAGTTGTCGGTACTTCAGTTGCCGGCGCCTTGTTGGGACTTCATCCAAAGCTTCACCAGACAAATCTGTCTCCAATCTACAAAAAAGAAATTGCCGTTTGTCTGAGATTAAAACAGAAGAGAAAATTCTGGGTGGTATGAGATGATTATAGTGGGTGCTACTTGGAGTCATTGTTGGCTGCATTAGGTGGTCTGAAAATCTCAGAATTTTGCAAGGTCGGCCTGATCTCCTGGAAGAAATGGAAAAGAAATGACAAGCACTCAATCTATTAGGTTCAGTCAAATAGGATCATTCTACCGAAGAAATCTACTGTTTTCAGTTTCATTACCATAGCTCTAAGAGGTCTTCTTTCTCTTTGAATTCCTTGCTCTAGCATGCTAGAACATGCAGAATCTGTCTTGAAGAAGGACGGGTCTGTGTATCTCTTCAAGCAAGCTCCCTCACCACCAATGTCATACCTGCAAAAATGCATGATCATATCCATAAAGATCAGCATTATCTTCAGTCATCAGTAGGTGCAAGCTCAACACACACATGAACAGAAAAAGGTTAGGCCATCATACTTGTCAAGCATGAACAATTTGGGAGGCCCATGACACTTCTTGATGGAGTCCATGATGAAGCGAGGCGTGTCGCCTTTTGTCACAACCCCACTTTCCAACCTCGGATTCGAATGCCACTCGATTCCTGCAAAAAAAACCAATCGATTTTTTATGAACGAGACCAGTAGAAGACGCTTTCCTTAGCAGAAACAGGTAGAGGTGACAGAAGTTGTTTCTTTCAGAATGCAGAGAAGCTTGTGTTGTGTGCTGTTGCACATACCCCTGTTAGAAGCAACATACAGGTAGTCTGTATGACAAGAGTCTTTCTCCACGAGTGGCAACTCTGCCTCCAGCTGCTGCACCCGGAGCATGAGCCCATGCCCTCGTGCAGATGCTGTCATCACCTCATCGTACAGACCATGGAACACCTGTGCAGCAAATCTGCACACATGCAATGGGACAATTTGATGGCATCATGATTTGCATTATGACATGATGATACTAAGATTGCCAGAAGTTCTAGTTATGTTGCCGTGTGGTGACATGGAATCTTTACTGATTATAGCAAAATATATCAGTTGAGGCTTTTAATTAGTTGGTGTATCCAAAAATAGCCAAATCATTATTGTTCATAAAGTGAAAAGAAGAGTACTCGACACATGTGTCCTATGTCCTAACAGCCATCTGGTGTAAGGCTTAAATGGAATTCAAGAACGTCTGATGAATTTTGATGCGCATTTTGGACTTCTGCCAACTGATTCCAACGTTGATAAACAACAGAAATGCCAAGGATCATTATCATCGCAATCACAGCAACAGCTAAAGGGATGAATCCAGGTCAAACTATGGTTGCTTTTATGCAATTCTTTGTTTTCCGTTGCTTCAACCTCCAGGCTCTAAGAAATCAATCAGAGCATCCTTCAATAGATGAACGCGAACCTGAGACTTTTTTCTTAAAAAAAAGTTGGGCCATAAAGTGCTAGTACATGATGACCAGTACGTGCTCGATCACAATCAGAAGACGGGGGAGAAAAAAAAAAGATATTTTTTGTTGGAGTTGCTGAGCTAGGACTAGGACATTACCAGAGTTAACTACCTGGAAGTCAAATGGCTAACACATCAATCACCTACCTATTCGAAGAAAAAAAGGATCACCAAGGCCTCCGGTGTTTGTTCATAACAAATGCATTAGGTCATTAGGTGATCTACTGCGATCAACATCCCATCACCATTGACCCCCAGCAAATTGCGACGCAACAATCCCAGGAAATTCGCCAAATAATAACTCAGAAAAAAATGCTCTCAAGAAATATAATCAGAAAAGCTCACCATCCATGAGGAATTCAACCGGGAGAGCAATCGAAGAAGGCGTTTTTTTTCTCTCTCTCTCTCGAAATAAATCAAAGTAAGACATGTGAGGACGGGGAGGGAGGGTCGTCGTACTCTGCGAGGTCGCCGAGCTGGCGGAGGACGCCGACGAGGCCGGCCATGGCGACGCCATCGAGGACGGCCTCCGGGTCGTGCTGGTTGGCCCGGCGGTAGAGCTCGCGGCCGCCGAGCGAGTACTCGTTGCCGACCTCGTGCCTCGACAGGGGCATTGCCCTCCACCTCTCCTCCTTGCAGCAACAATGGCAGCTTTTTCTCGTTGCAGCTGCCGGTGCGCGCCGCTGTGCCACTGCGCAGTGCAGCTTCCAATTCAGATGGCTAAGAGAAGAGCTCTCTGCGCTGCCTTTTACGCTTTTTTTGGCGCTTCGTCTTCTTCGTCGCCTCGTCGGGTCGGGGCGGGCCTTTTGTTTCTTCTCCAAGGTGTATTTCTTTCTCGTAAGCACACGATGACACAACACATCAGCAGGGGAGAGGAGATGGAATTAAGGAGTTGTGGGAGGCTAATTAATTCTCCGTCCGTTCTCCCGGGGGAGGGGTGAGGTCAGGTCAAGCGGGACCCACCGGGAGGTGACTCTACTACCCATGTGGGCCCCACCGTACCGCCGGCGGAGTGCATCTGAACTTGTTAATTTTGTTGGCTTTGTTGCTGCTCGTGTATGCGACGATTCTTGTGAACTCCCATTATACGTAGTACTCTCTACTTACTGCTAGGGCATGCGTGAAATAGCTGAGAAATTTGGAATCGAAAGGTAAAATTCTTCTGTTGAAATGATCTGCACATTTGCGTTTTTGTGTGGACAGAACAGAACATCCAAATGCTGTCGTCGTCACTTCATCATATCCGCAGCAATTTTGTAATGCCCCGATTCCGTCATCACTTGATCGTATAATCTCCCCTTTCTTTCGTCAGGGATAAGAGAACGACCATGAAATTGTCTTTGCTGCTTTGTTTCCTAGCACAAGGAATATCACGGGCTGCAGCCAGAGACAACAGTAAAACCTATACTTCTGTATGAATTGTTGAAAACAAATCATAGTTAGTACCATTCTAAGCAACCCCAGAAAAAAATCCATCTACATCCAGCATACTCCCGGCCCACAGGTGAAAAAGGCGAATTAACCCACAGCAAAAACAAGCAAACGCCTTTTAACATGTCACATGGTTTCCTCCCGGCCCCCTCTTACACGACAAAAATACTGTTCACAAGGTCAGTACGCTACAAGATTTATCTCGTGTGATTTTTGCCGGAACGAACGGTGTCCAGCGACAAGACAACGCCCCTACAAATTCCAGGCTACCGGCTACCTGTACCGACCTGATAAGAGATACTCCTACCAGCACATAGGTTGCACGAGTGAGCACAACTACACTGTAGCCTGGCTGGCTGAGTGGCTGTGGCTATCTTCGCGCGATCGCTTTTCCACTAGAAACATGCCAATGCATGGGTAGCATGCACAATATACGTTCATGGACTTCAAAGTTACTCATAGATGGGAGAATGGATAGGCATACACCTAATATGAGGGCCACGAATGCAACAAGAATCCCATAATAGCCAAATAGTAGTAGAAGGCCGCACACTTTATTGTATAAAATCACAAGGCCACGAAACCTACCATCCCACCACTAAAATACGTGTTCAACAATCATCATGCCTGCAACTACTGAGGTGACACTTATGATTTTTGGCAATATAATATGGCATATACACCTCATTCATCTCTGACCAAGGAAAATGGACGAGGGGAATATAGGGGCATGATTTTCTCTTGGCTTTTAAGGGAGGGATACATCTTCTAACTTCTACCACCAGTGTAGGAGAAAAGATAATGTAGCCTACAAAGGCCACAATACCAGACATGCCAGCATCAAAAGCAGGGTTAACAAAAAGAATGAAGACCAAATATGATTTAAGCAACAAAGACTTCTAAACTAAGCAATTGCTTTCCAAAAATACAGTGTTAGAAAACTGATACAGCAGTTTGAAAGCTAAGGGCGGAAAGTCTTACAAGTACAGAGGTTTTCTTGCCAGATTGTGGGATCCCATGGATCATTCACTTCTTTGCGTAGGATATAGCCATTGGGTTGTATGGGGTGATCTTGAAACCCTGCAGAGCTTGCATTGCAACCATAGACTGGCTGTCGTCCTCGTATTCCACAAAAGCAATGCCTGGCTTGGCTTCGATCATCCGGACTTCCCTGAAACCAGGGTACTGCTGGAACAGGATCTGGAGCATCATGCTTGTAGTCTCAGCTGGTAAGTTCTGGATGAAAAGGATATTGTTTGGAGGTGCAGGTGGCTCTTGCGAAGTCTTGCCCAGGCGTGAGGCTTGATAACCCTGCACAGAAGTCAACAAAGAAACTCAAAATACTTGAAGAAACTCAAAGTTGCATAGTAGTTGAGCATATGAAATTTCCTGCATTACAAATGATAATATGAAAGTAGTAAGTATACCGGTGCTTGTTTTGTCCACATAATCTAATTGACGATAGCGATACATTCAGCATAGATTAATGGAACAATAGAGAGATATTATATCTTACTAACTACTACCCACTTAACCCATGTCATGGAAGATGGACAACACTAAGGTAGTTATTACCAGGAAGCCTAAGTTGGTTCCTTCTGGGATAGACAAGAAAAAACAGTTATAGCAGAGTTTCCGAGGACATAAATTGGTGAGCTAACAAAAAAACTGTACTACCGTAAGACTATCTTCCTACTGCCAGAATAATCTAAAAATAGTTCAATTTAAAGAATTGAACAGCAGTAATTTTTCCATACAAGTCAAGATGACCAAGTAGCCCCCTAATGTAAGCGCACACACATATAATTCATTAATTCCCTATGATGCCTCAAATCTTTCAACCAAAAGATGGACATTCACCTTGAAACTAGTAAAAGACATAATCCAGTCAAGTGTATATACCATTTCAACATTTGTGTAAAATAAGACAATGCTGGCACAAAGAAACACTGTGGTAGATATCTGGTATCAGAATAGATGAACCTAAGCAGCAAAATCCACACTATATATATGACAGAATGCATTAAAAAAACTAGGCTTCAAGAAATAATAGTGGCAAGGTGATAAGAGGTGGCATAGAATAATGGTATAAAAAACGAAATCATGGTATATAAACCAGTAAAGAACTTACAGTCCCATTGCTTTGGGCAGCAGCATTAGGACCAGATTGTTGCGCCTCTTCAGCTCGTCGTTTTTTCTCCGCTGCTAAAAGAGAGCAAAAACCAAATGCAAAACATATAAATACATGTTCTTCAATAATCGAACAGTGAAAAATGAAAATAAAATGTAGTCCTAAGCAGTAATTCCCTAATAACTAAAGAGTAGAACCAAACCAAAGGGAACTCAACAAGCAGATAAATCAAGTTTCATAAGTTATGACTGATGACTGAACTACCAACACAAAAACTTACTACTCCTAGAAAAGTAGCTTGCGCATCTGAAATAAAATAGAGGTAATGATGCTCATGATAAGCTTAGCGGACACTTTAGGCACTTCCAAAATTTTATTTTATTGTTGAAAAAACTTCAGACGGAAGTCCCCACAACAACATACATCTTCATCACCAAAGAAAGTGTTGTGTACCTAACGTAACATAAGGCATTTGAGGATGTCTAGGATGAAGTCAAATGTGGTGAAAGGACCTTAAGAAAATCACAAAGTATAAAAAAAAACGTTGGGCTCTCAAGTTCATAGACATAGGTGGAGCATCATGGAAGTGTGAGAAACTATGGTGTAATTACCTATCTTCAAGAACAAAGAAATTAAATGTCTCCGTAGCTTGCTCACAATTGGTGGATCAACCAATGTGTCATGCGTGTCGAATAGACATAGACTTCTTGAGATAATTAATGTATTCTTCTATTGGAAAAGGAGCTTATGAGTACCTCCTTAAATTTCAAGAATGAACAGGAGTACAATTGATACAAAAAGCAGAGATAGAGAAAGGAATCTTTCCATTTTGCTAGCCACTACACAACTTCCATTCATGAGAACATTTTTGTTTTGGACATAGGCACCAAGAAGATGAGAATACTTTGGAAGTACGTGTTTTATAACAGACCTAAGATATTGATATATATAATTGAAATACTTAAAAGACATCAATGCCGAAGATTTTGAAAGTTCAAGTTGATGTATGTCCGAAATGGCATGTTTATGTGATGTAGGGAGTATACACTACATAGATGTTTGAAAGGCTGATGCCCTAGTTTTGAAGATATTGAAGAATGCAATTTTAACTTGCACTGTAGAATTCTTAGTATTTCCCCATTCCTGTACTACCTGAAGGTATCTGCTAGGATTGCAAATCAGAAAGTTTTGTGCATAGAACGATCAAACATCCATAAATGAAAATGCAATTAGAAATACCTTTCTCCTCTTGCTTCTTTCTTTTCTCTTTTGGAGCAGTAGAACCATCTTCGGTTGCAAGACAGTCAGATCTTGTTTTCGCATATTGTACTCGCTGCACAGGGCAAGGAAAAGAATTAAGTTGTAACTAGCCCTTGGTAATAAATAGAGTGGTACTATTAAGCCTGATCTATTTTCTTCTGATTGTGATGTAATAGACCGTCCATATAAATTGTTTATTTTCACTTGCCCAGTATACAAACAAGAGATTGTATTAGGAGCAATTGACTCTACAGTAGTTAAGGCATATGTTTTTCAGCATCTAGATAGAGATTATCCTGACATGTTATTCTACAAATAACAAAAAGGTGAATGCTTACTACATAATCAAATTATAATGTATGTAAGACCAACACTATGAAGAATGCATGTTTATCTATGCTACTTCATTAACCTAAGCATCCCGCAAAACATTGTAGAACGCAAATGATATGATGCTTGCTAGCCAGATCAAGGTATTATCATACTATTAATAAATGGATCCATGTGTAACTGTACATTACTTGCATCACTGAAAATTTAAATTGATAACCATCTGAGTAGCTTCATTACTGAAAATTTAACATTGAATTTAGAACCTTGTTGTAAAAAATTTACAGCCCAACATATGGCACCAGACTGAACTCTGCAAATACTTAATATCCCATGTGAAAAAATAGCAATGCAATGTTACTCTAAGGCAAAACATACACACCATATAAAAAAATCAAATTGGAAATTAAAACATCAGTTATCAACTAAAGTGCAAATGATTACCATTCTTTTGCCATAAAAATCGAATTCCTGCAGTCCACGGAAAGCATTTGTGGCGGCGGTAATTTCGCTGAAGACCACCCATGCCTGCCCCCTCAGTTTAGGTGTTTTTAAGGCCACCACATCCAGTATCCTCCCATATTGGGAGCACAACGCATAGAGTGATCTCTTTAATTCTGCAGGAAAGATCAACATAAGTTACTGCATGAATCGAGCAAAGAGGTGTACTGTTATACCATAGTTGAACAACAGAGCGATGGTTTACACAAACTAGGGTTATCTGGTTAGCTTAGGGTACACAGAACAGGAGACTATTTTTTGCACTACACACTCGAATTTCTATGACACACAATGTAAGAGAGATTTCCCCCCAAACGACAGCTTAACCTGGTAAACGGAATCAAGATGGGCATTCCCATCAGCCTCTAGCGAGAAAACATGGAGCAACTCCAACATCTGCCCGCCGACTGCCCCCCTTCATCAACTGCTATGGGAACAAAAAAAAAATCAAAACACCTCCAACATCCTAAACCTCCGGACGCTACATGACCAAACCCTACAACGAGGCGAGTAGGCGACAGCGAGCAGCGGCCCAGATCGGGAGGGCTAGGGTTTTACGAGGGATTTTGGCCAGCGGGCGGCCGCGCGCTGGGTCGCCGCCCGGGAGAAGATGCGTACCTTCTTTCTTGACCTTCTCGTTGAGGTTCCTGAGGTAGACCGTCTGGTTCGGGGGTATGTCGCCGGACAACATCTCCGCCGCGCCGCCGCCGAAGACGAGGAGGAAGGGAGACGAGACGAGCAGGAGAGAGGGCCGCGATATTGTGGCCGCGGTGAGGGATTTGGCTCTCCTGCTTCCTCTGCCCCCTTCGCTTCTCTCTTCGGCCCTCGGGCCTCGTAGTCGGCGCGTGCGAAAATATCGATGGGCCGTATTGGCGCGTTGGGTCCACAGCCCATGTACACGTTTGCCTCTGTACAAGTAGGAATAAGTTCACCTTCAATCCCTCAACTTTTACACTGAGTTTGTTTGACATTCCTTATGCTCAATACCAGAAATCTTCACCCCTAAACTATATCAAACCGTCCAATTTAAGTCCCATGGTAATATAGATGCATAGATTTATTGACGTGGCAGCCTAGTCAGCAAAATAAAAATAAAATAATATGTGGGTCCCACATGTAAGTGAGAAATTTTTCTTCTTGTTTTTTTCTTCTCCTCTCTTGAGCAGGTGCAGCGGCAGGCAAAGCGGGCGCAGCAGCGGGCTGCTAGATCCGCGTGCCAGTGGTGCCCGCCCCCCTCTTCCCAAGTGGCGGCTTGCGTCCACAAACGTCCTCCAGTTGGACTCATAGGCAAACGCACCCTTCACCGCCGTTAGGAGGCCTACCTTCCTTCACTGCGACGGTG